GTTGAGTTTGTAGAACTGTTGAATAGCCCCGTTTCTTAACTTCGGTTAGGCCACATACATTCAATTTTGTCAATTAACTCACCTTTCTGTATAGTAACCTTGATAAAATGGCAAATAAATTCATCCTTATCATCTACTATATCCTTGGGGATCAATTATACACGTTTTGATTACCTATAGAGGTGTTTAAGGGGCTGATATCATGGTTACTTTTAACTCCACGCACTTTATCATGCTCCAATTCATCTACTGATCTAAGCCCGGATATTATAAGATTGCAGCTTCTAGAATACAATATGAAATTAGGCGAGCAAGTCATACTGACCAGTTTCATCCCCCCTTTGAATTTTCCCTCTTGAGCATCTGGAATTTATCCCTTTTCGAAACTGAATCGTAATTTTAACATTTAACGAGATGAGATGTTGGCCCTTCCAATTTCTGAAACATATCAAACTTGATTTAGATATGCAACAAATTTGAAACCATTATGTTTTCATTTCAAGCAAAGACCAGCTTCATATCAATTCATATGTTAGAGATTATGATGATCTTCATGTTACAGAAATGGAACCTACATTTATATATCAAGGATGGTTCTTGCTCCACTTTCTTTGAATGAAAACTTCTTATAATTGAACTATATGATTGAAATATAAATAACAATTGGAAAGAATCAAAATCACACCATGACTACAACATTAGATATATCGAGCACAATAACGTCAACATTGCTTGTAACTCAAACACAGGTTGTGAAAGGTATAATGGATCTCTATGTGGATAAGTCCATAAATAATGGTATTACATTAGATGCTAAAGATACAGATCCAATATCAACAGTTTCTACAATAAGAACAGCATCTACAACAAAAGGGCCTTTAGCATCAGCTGCCGCTTCACATATGGGTATTGGTAGTAACTTGTTCTCTGATGCTTCAAGTGAATCAAGTAGTGATAATTCTAAAATTGGTCTAGCAATAGGTATACCAATTGCAATTGTTGGTAGTATAATTATTGTGGTTGTCTTATATCTTTACTTAAGATATAGAAGAAACAGTTCAAAGGATAAAAATGATCAATTACAGTCATATTATGATGAAAAATATAATTATAGAATAAGTCCTGTTCAAAACTCATCACCATTAAACTTAAGAACAACTTATCAGATTAAAACTGATTCATTACAATCTCAACAACAACCTTATCCATCACAATTTGACGCACAATCATCAACTATAGTACCTAATACATACTCTATCCCATCAATAAAAAATATACCACAAGGACAAGATAATAATACAAAATGGCAAACACCAATTCAAAAATGGTTTAATTTAACTAAAAGTGCAGTTTCAAGTAGAGCAAGTTTAAGTACAGGAATCTTTTCACCAAGAACACCAGGAATACCTTTACGTGAATTCAATCTCAAGAAACAATATCCACATAATGATAATGATGAAGATATGGGACAATATAATGAAAAATCGCCAATTCTACCAAGTTTCCCAGAAAAATCATATATGGGTACAAATAATTATTCAACTCCAAAACGTCTAAAAGAACAGCATCATACACCTTCTAATTCAATAGAATCAAGTCCAAATGGAAGTATAAGGACACAAGTGGTTCAAGCACATGATACAACAAGACGTGAAGTTGTTAATTTACAACATCCATTACAAAACCCTAAAACTCAAAAAGCTTTAAAGAATAAAGCTACTATGAATAACAATACTGGTAAACCATTACCAAAAGTACCATCAACTGTTTCAGAACATTCAATCAAAAGTCTTGTTGGATTAGAACAAGTTGTTTTGGAACGTATGATTCCAACAACACCAATGGTTGATTTTGCTAAGTATAAGAATAATAAGATTTATAAAGTTTCTCAAAGTTATGAAAGAAATTTAGCAGATGAATTATCAATTATTAAAGGTGATTTAGTTAAAATTTTAGCAAGACATACTGATGGTTGGTGTCTTGTTGAAAAATGTGATAAAGATGGTAATGCATTATTTCAAAATACAAATAGATATATTAATGATGGGAGAGGTGTTATACCTGAATTATGTTTACAAGGAACAGTCGAATAGTCATTCATTTAATCTTCACAAGTTGATCATGGTTTAATAATTTAATATAAATGCATTTGATCTCATGTTTACGAATATTTGTAGTGAACGTTGGTATTTATTTATATGTAGTAGTGTAGATATACAAGTGAAATATTTAAAATAAATTCAATCTGATCAATGGCTGATCAGCTCTTTAATGTTCTATATTAGTAGTAATGATTATATAAATATACAGAATATTTGTATTGGTGAAAATTATAATTAAACTCTAAATGAAAAAAAAGGCAAAAACAAATCAACAAGAAAACAACTCCCTCTAAACCCCTTAAAAATGAATGTGTAATTTTTTTTTTATAAATAAAATGAATGCTAAACTTGAATGAAATGCTATAATAATAGAATAGTATGCAAAAGAGATGGATAAAATTCCTTAGTTCAAGATCCCTTGTTCAATTTTTTCATCAATATCATGATCTTTAGCAAATAATTTATGAGCTCTCAAGAACCAATAAGCAACAGCATAAACAGTTAACCCACCAAGAACAGCAGCTGCATAATTCATATCACCAGCTGTAACAGGCATGGTAAATGGGAAACAAAAGAATACCAAGGCGAAAACAGTCCAACATAAAGTGATTATATTAGCAATTAAACCAATTGGACCTAACCAAAATGGACCATGTTTAATATTATTTCTTCCCTTATATAACAAACAAACAATTGGGATTGAATAAGATAATAATAAAAATGTAATACAACCTGTAACCATGGCATTATAAGCTGTTGTTGAACCCATATAGATACAACCAACAACACAACCCCAGAAACATGACATGACATTAGCATTAATTGGTAAACCTGTAGTTTTATTAACTTTGGACCAATATCTTGAACCTGGTAAACCTTGATCTCTAGAAAATGACCAACATAAACGTGCTTGCCAAGTTTGTGAGGCAATTGTACAACCGAATGAAGTTAAGACAACTAATGATTCTAAGAAAAGTGCACCATGTTTGTTTTGTAAAGCTTGATAAAAAATATCCAAGATTGGGACACCTGTGTTTGAAGCGAAAATTGCATCTAAATTTCTAATTGAAAAAAACATGGAAATTGAATATAAGAATGAAGTTGTAAACCCAATAGCAACAGTTGCCATGATTGAAATTGGAATGAATTTTTCAGGTTGATAAATTTCTTCAGCCATATGAGTTGCACAATCTAAACATGAAAAGGACCAAGCTGGATTAATTAACCCAACTAAGAACCCAATAGCAGCGGAATTCCAACCTGTATTGTTATTAAATTCAGTGAAAACAAAAGAAGCATCTTGATAATTACCACGAGAACAAATCAAGACAGTGATTGTGATAACAACAAATGAACCAATTGAAGTATATAAGGCAGCTGATGAAATATATGGTAATGGTTTATCCCAAATGTTGAAAACCATAATGAAGATATTTAAAACTTCAAAACATAACCAAACTTGCCATCTTTGAACTTCACGATTTGGATCACCAGTACTTAAGACATACATACCCACTAGGGCAGATGCAACGGCTAAGGTAGTTGAAGCAGAAGTGAAAACAGCACCAAACCAAGCATAAGAACCACACATATAAGCCCAAAATCTTTTATATTTCTTTGGAGCCAATTGGAAAGTCCAATAATATTGACCACCAGAATTTTCAGGGAATGCAGAAATTAATTCAGATAATGAAATACCAATACAAGTAGACATGAATGCAACAATCATGATCCCATAAACAATCAACATTGGACCACCAGAAGAAATACCAGTAACCAAAGAAGCAGAAATACCGAACCATGAATTTGTTAACCCAAAACCAACACCTAATAATGACCAAATTGAGAAATGACGACGTAATTCAGGTTTATAACCATGTTCAGCGACTCTTTGATCATCAGAACCAAGGGATGCACTTTCAGATCCAGCTGAGTTTATAACTTCAGCAGTGGGAACTTTTTCTATATCAGACATTGTTGAGAATGTGTTTAGTTTCTAGTGTTGAATAGCAAAACTAATAAGAGTATAAAACCAAGTTTAACGTCTCGTGAGGTTTCAAGGACCAAGGGATAGACAATGAAGTTTCAACGGTTTAGAAGTTGAAGGGTTGATGTTACCAAAACAGGATCTTTGGTTGATTTTAAATGAACCAAATTGACTGCATCATTCTTATCTTTTCTATACAGTGCAATTTCGAGAATCCTAAAATCGTGGATTCTGATTGCACAGCGAGTTCAAATTCACATGTGAATGAAAAAATTTTCACCGTGATTCTGTTAAACTGTTAAACAAAAACCTCCGATCACAATCACATGTTTAACGGGTTCCATGTTGTTTGTAGGGTTTCAGTACGATCGTTATTGACATTTAACGGCTGATTTGCACCAGGAAACCTTATTTAGGAAAGTTTCAGGGACTAAAACTGCGTTGACACATTGTTTATGTGCTTTTAATTCCAGAGGAATTAAAATCTGGTGCGGAAGAAGCGCGAAGGCATCGGTAAGGCCAGTAAGAGTATAGACTTGGGCCATTTGGAGTTTGGACGTAGTAATACCTTATTCCAGAGTACATTAGATCAGGTAATGTATTTCGTCTATAGTTTAAGAGGTCTGAATAAAATACTACGTCCGTATACTTTACAAATAATAAATAAAATCCTGATATTATATAAAATCTATTCATTATGGAATTCAATATACATCAATTAATGTCATTCCTTGACTATTATCTCCAACTAATAACAGTCTAACAACTATTTACATACAGCAGCTCAACACACATTGGAAATCTTCCTTGTGTCTTATCTTCACTATGTCTCCTATTGAACTTGATCCAGACTATTTGAAGATGGAAATCATCTTTATCATAATCACTCGTAAGTCTAAAGAAGCACAGGTATCAGCTTTGGTCTCAATATACATTTACAATTTTTAATCATAATCCATACTTCTTCTGTCTCTGGTCATAATAACCCAACATGATAACATTCCCAATCATGCTTTGAATCCAATCATTTCCAATTGTTTCATCATATCACCTTCATTTTGTTTTTGAGTTTCTTGAGTAGCAACATCTTTATCATGATCTTTTTTCAAATCTTTATGATCTAAAATAGACTTCTTTTTCTGTTTAGCAGCTTCATGATTCATTAAATCTAATGTAATTTCTGATAAATCAAGACTTGCATCTAATTTATCAATTTTTGATGTTGTTGATTTGGAAGTTTTTTTTAACAATTTACTTGGAGTTTTGGATGATTTTATAGTTTTCTTTTGAATTCCTTTACTACCCTTAGCCATCTTTGATATAATTCTTTTATCAGCTATTGTACTTCTTCTATTGTTTGAATTATAGATCAGTATTAATTTTTTTTATAATATAATTTTTTTCTCGAATTTTCCTTATTATAGTACTTCCGCCATTTTGGGAAATGGTTACGCACCCACTGTGCTGGGAAATTTTTTTTAATGAGATGAGCTACAAAAATTAAAAACTATAAGCATAATTTTGTATGGGAAAGTGATAAATTATAACAATAACCAACTTTAAAGTCACATCAAAATGCCTTCAACTCATAATAGAGATAAACCATGGGATACTCCAGATATTGATAAATGGAAATTAGAAGAATTTAAACCTGAAGATAATGTTTCAGGTCAACCATTTGCAGAAGAATCCTCATTTATGACATTATTCCCAAAATATCGTGAAGTTTATTTAAAACAAATTTGGCCAGATGTTACTAAAGCTCTTGATAAACATCATATTGCATGTACTTTAGATCTTGTGGAAGGTGCTATGTCTGTTAAAACTACAAGAAAAACTTTTGATCCTGCTATTATTTTAAAAGCTAGAGATTTAATTAAATTATTGGCACGTTCAGTACCTTTCCCACAAGCTGTTAAGATTTTACAAGATGATATAGCGTGTGATGTTATTAAAATTGGTAATTTTGTTACAAATAAAGATAGATTCACCAAAAGAAGACAAAGATTAGTTGGACCAAGTGGTAATACATTAAAAGCTTTAGAATTATTAACAAAATGTTATATCTTGGTACAAGGTAATACTGTTAGTGCAATGGGTCCATTCAGAGGTTTAAAAGAAGTTAGAAGAGTTGTTGAAGATTGTATGAAAAACATTCATCCTATTTATCATATTAAAGAATTAATGATTAAAAGAGAACTACAGAAAAAACCTGAATTAGCAAATGAAGATTGGAGTAGATATTTACCACAATTCAAGAAGAAAAATGTTGCTAGAAAGAAACCTAAACAAGTTCGTGATGATCAAGAAAAGAAGAAAGAAAAGAAAGTTTATACTCCATTCCCACCTGCTCAATTACCTAGAAAAGTTGATTTACAAATTGAAAGTGGTGAATATTTCCTTAATAAAAAAGAAAAAAGAGTTAAAGAATTACAAGCTAAGAAAGAAAAACAAGAAGAACATAAGATCACAAGAGATGAAGAAAGAGCCAAAGATTATGTGGCTCCTGAAGAAGATAAATATGAAAATCCTCTTTTGAAAGAGAAGAAATCTAAAAAATCTAAAAAAAGATCAAGTGATGATGCTGATGAAGATGGTGAAAAAAAGAAAAAGAAAAAGAAGTCTAAACATGCTGATGAATAGGCTATTCTTCCGATCTGCATATATGAGTTTATAAATGTGTTTTTAATAAAAGAAATGTATAATTTTTAATTTTAAAATTGGATTTTGGATTTGATATCTATACTTTCGCAATTTTTCGTTTTTCAAATTACGCCAAATTACGCCAAAATTCTACAGATCAGGTAATCTTTTATTAGCGAATTTTCCGTTTTTTTCGCGCATTTGTAATGGACGAAAAAAAGTGAACAGCTGGAAAATGAAAACAATAACAAGAAACATTTTGAAGGGCAAATTTCGACAAACTTCAACGTATCAAAGGACCTTTTAGTCCATTATTTTCCAAACTTACTGGACAAACACATTTGCTGGCTCTTAAGTAAACGGAAGTTGTTTAAATGGTGCTTTATTTCTGCTAGATTGGACCTCCCACCTTCACATCTTTTTCAATATTAGGAATCAAAAGTTGATCCACCCACCTGTCAAGAATTGAATATTTATACAAAACAAAAAGAAAACCATCAAATCACAACCAACCCAACCAATTGAATTTTATCTAGCATCCTTAAATATAAATCATCAACAATGGATCAAAGCGGGAACGCATTACTTCTAAGATTCATTGAGTCTCAGCAGTTTGGTTTGTTTACATGTATTGCTTATTTAACTAGGTATGCATCAAATATTGGGATTCATCATCACCTTTGTCAAAAACTTAGAACTTATAAAATTGAAGATCTTTCATTCTTCATACCTCAATTATGTCAAATATTGGTAACAGTGGAGACTGAATCAATGGCTTTGGAAGATTTACTTTTAGATATGAGTACACAACATCCGCATTTTACATTACTAACGTTTTGGTATTTACAAGCTCATTTAACTGATTTATCAGATGATCCAAACTCACATAGCTTCCAAAGTGCAAGAAGATTATTAAACAATTTACAATATATCCTTTTCAATATTGGATCACCTCCTTCAAAAAAAGTTAGAGAAAATGTTGCACCAAGTGTGGTTTTAACTTCTGCAATTGCGGCTAGTATGGGTTTACCTCAATTAGGTCAATTCATTGGACCTGTTGCTCAAAGTCAAGGAAGAAAGCAAAAATCATTTGTTTTTGAATTGGTTAAGAACTTCAAGAATAAATTAACTGATAATTTGACAATGAAGAATACATTAACAAATTCATCAAGAGTTTCATCTTCTGGAGGTGTTGCATATGATACAATTCGTAAATCATCCATTGATGAAAGTTATAAAAAGGAACAACCAAGTGAGAAACGTAAAGAGGAACTGAATTATGATTTTGCATCAATTGATTCTTATACTGAAAATGTTGTTGCTAAAGACAAGAGACATAAACTTACAAAAGAATTACTCAGAACAAATTCTGCATTTTATGAACAAGGTAATGATTTATCAACTGCATCTTCACCAACATTTGGTAATAATTTTGATAATTCTCATAACTCTGCTTCAATGCCTGAATTACAACGTTCAAATACTGGACCATCTTCACCACAGGGTTCAATCGCATCAACACCTGATAAATTTTCAAAACGTGGTCGTCAATCAAGTAGAGGATCTCATCATGGTGCCAATATAAGAAATATTTCACCTGCATTAATGACAACGCCTGCTAAAATTAAGCTTTTGAAATCAAACTATTTTAGATGTGAAACACAATTTGCTATTGCATTACAATCAATCTCTGTGAGATTAAGTCAGGTTCCTCAAGAAGCTCGTCTTTCATCACTACGTGCAGAATTATCTCTATTGAATAGAGATTTACCAGCTGAAGTTGATATTCCCACATTATTACCACCAAATAGAAGAGGTAAATTACACAAAATTGTTCATATTACTGCTAATGAAGCTGCAGTGTTGAATTCTGCTGAAAGAGTCCCATTCTTGTTATTGATTGAATACTTAAGTGATGAATTAGATTTTGATCCTTCAACAAACGAAAATGATAAATTATTACATGAAAAACCAAATAATTCATATATCTTCGATTTAGGTATTCAAACTTCATCAGCTCAAGTATCACCTCCACCAACTACTTATTATGATGAAAAACCAAAAGAAACTGATTTAGGAGATTTATCAGTTGTTAAATTATCTAATAAAAATGGTAATGAAACCTTCCAAAATGATATGCTTGTTGCATCAGCTACTAATATTCCAATCATCAATCAAGAAGAAGAACGGGCATCTGATTTAAATTTCCAATCAAACTATCATTTTAATGTTTCTGATAATGTTGATACTTCAGACTTAGCTACACAAATGAGAATTGCAGCTGTCATGTTATCACAATTAGATGGTGCTACCAGTACATTACCCGTTGATCAATCAACAGCAATCAAAGCTAGAATTATTTCATCTATGCAATCATTACAAGATCATTTCGGATATAAAGATCTAGAGGCTATTCATGGTGCTGCTGGTGAACGTAAATTGGAGAATGATTTGAAATTAGGTGGTGTTTCAGCTAAAAACTCCAAGGCATATTTGGGTGAAGATTGGCAAACCAAAAAGGAAAGAATACGTAAGAATAGTATGTATGGACATTTGGATAATTGGGAATTATGCTCAGTTATTGCCAAAACTGGTGATGATTTAAGACAAGAAGCTTTTGCATCTCAAGTTATTCAAGCAATGGCATCTATATGGAAAAATTCAAATTGTCCAGTATGGGTGAAACGTATGAGAATTTTAATCACAAGTGCCAATACTGGGCTTGTTGAAACAATTACCAATGCTTTATCAGTTCATTCTATTAAAAAAGCTTTAACAAAATTATCTATTGAAGATGGTGAAAATGTTAAAGGAACAATTTCTACATTAACTGAACATTTTGAACGTTCTTTTGGTGATCCAAAATCTGCAAAATATAAAAGAGCCCAAGAAGCATTCGCAAGCAGTCTTGCAGCTTACTCTGTGATTTGTTATCTTTTACAAATTAAAGATCGTCATAATGGTAACATCATGTTGGATAATGAAGGTCACATTATACATATTGATTTTGGTTTCCTTTTATCAAATTCACCAGGTTCTGTTGGTTTTGAAGCTGCTCCATTCAAGTTGACTTTAGAATATGTTGAACTATTAGGTGGTCTTGAAGGTGCAGCATTCCAAAAATTTAAAGAATTAACTAAGGATTCATTTAAGGCTTTAAGAAAGAATGCTGATTATTTGATAACAATGGTTGAGCTGATGCAAAAAGAAAGTAATTTACCTTGTTTCAAAGCTGGTCCACAAACAAGTGTTCAATTCAAACAAAGATTTCAATTACATCTTTCAGAAACTGAATGTGATGCATTCGTTGAGAATTATTTGATAGGAAAAAGTATTGGTAGTATTTACACAAGGTTATATGATCAATTTCAATTGCTGACCCAAGGTATTTATAGTTGAATTCAAATTATTTTATTATTATAGATTACAGAATTGCATATATATACTGGAATGTAACAAGCCAGTGTATATGTTTATTGATATAAACAATTTTAATTAGAGTTAATGATCTTTGTAGACGAATAGTTCACTATTGGAAACTTACATTAAATATTAAGTAGTCATTATATATTTCTGTATGCAATTATAAATTACTAGTCATTACCAAATTTGAATTTCAATTTAAGTTTAGGTTTTGAGCTTACTTCTGGTTCTTCCTTTATTGGGTCTTGTGCCTTAGGCTTTGGAGCCTCTGGTGCTTTTGGTTTCATTATATTGAATTTTGGAATCTTAGCAGCAGGTTTTGCAGGAACTTCTGGTTTCTTTTCTTTGACAACATTGGCACTAGAACTCTTCTTTGAGCGTCTTAAAGGATCTGATGAAACAACAATAGCTTTCTTGTTTGAGTTGATTTTAACATAACGTAGAGGACCTGATTTGGATTTTCTAATCTCAGCTTTGTATGGTTGAGATTTTGGTTCAACTGGAGCAGGCGATTGTGAGCTCTTATGAGTAAGTTTTATCACTGGAGCTTTTGGTGTGATAGATTTTCTTCTTGGTATACTTGGAGCTGGTGTTTTGGTGTTGATGGTGAGTTTCTTTGACAACGAAATTTTGAAATGACCTTCTCTCTTTAATAGCACTTTACCACCACCACCCAGATTCTGAGCTGCAACCTTTTTAGCTCTTGGTAACTTGAATTTAGCAACAAGAACATCATATACTGGTATCAAGACAGCAACAACGTCAAATAAAGCTCTTCTCTCTGGAATGCTGAAAAGTGGGTTTCTTAGTGCATTCCATAGCTCATCTCTTAAAGGCTTAAACTCACTATAATCTCTTCTTAATAACTCAATCGCACCTTTTAAAGTGGCTTTAGCAAATGCATCCTTTCTGGTTTCGAATTGATCTTTAGCACCTTCATCAATCACAACCAGCCCCGTATCAGTCTCTTTTGTCTTTTTCTCAATTTCAATATCATGGGTCAATTCATCCTCATCAACATCAGTTGATCCACCTTCAATCACGACTACACCAAATGATTGAGCAAATGCCTCAATGAGCTTATGTCTCATGTATGGTGATTTTTCAAAACTTGTCAGTAGGAAAAAATAATGGAGTATTCTTGAATTTTTTAAACCACCAGATTGAAATAAACCTTGAAACGCTGTAATTCTTACATCTGGGAAATAGTTTTCTTTGGTGTGTTCAAAAAGATAATCAGGATCTAATTCTAATAACCCTTTTCTTGCTAGTTTCAATTTTTCGTTGAACGCTGAAACGCCAATTAGGGAATTGTATGATGGAATCCATTCATCCATTTTTTGATGTCTTGACAATTCAGCAACAGCGTTGTTTAAAAACTCTCTATCAGTTGAATTCAATTTTGAGTTATTATCAATAAGAACATTTGAGGTTAAAGATCTCACAAGACACGTTATCAAATGACTCACATAAAAAGCATCCGAATATGGATTATTGAGGTTATCATTGAACTTCAATATATCTAACAAAAATCTTCTAACTTCAAGTGGACAATTGTTATTCTTGTCTTGAATTGTTGATAGAGCTTCAGGGATTGCCTTCTTTAAAAAATAAGATGGAAAATCTGAAAATTCATTAGGGAAAGGGATGGAGGAGTTTTCAAAACAATACAACCTTTTAAATGCAGTCAATAGATGCTTGAGACCAATCCAATTTGATTTCTCCTTAGCATATTTTGCCATACCTTTTGCAGCTTCTAGTCTAACACCATAATAATAACGTGAATCCAATAAGGTTCTCAATAAAATTGAAGAGTATAATGTACTTGGATTTGCAATAGAAAAATAATTGATTGATTCCAATTGTGCCTCCACATCTCGATCTTGTTGTAATTGTGAAGCATACATATAATCAGGTTGATTTATATGAATTTTACAAATCCATTCAAAATCAGCATCAACTCTAATCCATTCGAACGCTTCATTGTTCATCTTTTCCTCCTCTTCTTTGGTCCATTCTGTCAAGTCCCATTCTTTAATTTCTTGATCAGATTGTAAAATATCACCCAAACAATGGAGTAAAACAGTTTCATCTTCATCAGGTTCAGGTTTATCTTTATCAGACTTTTGTTGTTTTTGACTTCTTTTTAAACGTTTGTATTTGGTGTTGTATTGTATATCTAATTTGGTGAATCCTTCTTTCAAATCAACTATATGCTCATACGGTGTACCATCAGCTTCATGGATACGAATAGTCATTGGTCCGGTAAATAAAGTAGCGGGAACTTGTGCATCAGTGGTTTCCTGTTGTCTTCTAGCTTCTGATATAAATGTATCAGGTGAAGGATGCTGATTCTCAGTCTCTTGATGTTGAACTTGCCTTATACCCATTTCAATAAACATTCTTTTCTTGTTGAATCTTTGTGTAACTCTAAAGATTGGAACTCCGGATCCATACACCCATTGCCTGAAAAATGATTCTAACCTATTATGATTCACTTTTTCACATACATGTTGGAAGTGATATGTACTTAAGCATCCATTAGCAAGATCACCAGACATAGCTTGTAAAAAGATCTTAGGTATAACTCTTGATAACCCAAAAGATTTATCAGTCTTTGTCATTCGTCTATCCAAGATGAACAAAACGATTGGTGATTTCAATTCCAAAAATTCAAAATCAAGGGTTGAAATTGGATATGTCAGAAATGGTTCTGCAAGTGGTCTTCTCCCAATATCCTCTTCACAAATTCTATCAGCTTGTTTTTTAACTCTGTATTTATATTCATTTGTACCCATCAATTTCTTGGTAAATTGTTGTGCCATATAATGGGCAATACCTAGTGTGACCCAAAAGTCATTAAAAGTCTTTGGAACAACATTTATCCCAGACCATTGTTCTGATAATGCAACTGACAATTTGTATGTGCTTGTGTATATAGGTTCAATTACATTAGGAGCGTAAAGCAAATTTTTGCTTAATATTGAAAGACCTGCAAATCCACATAGTTCAACACTAATATCTGAAACAAACACCAAAGCATAACTTGTAAATGGAAATGATCCAAATTCTCTCGAATAAAAATCAATTGCTTTATAAAGGAAAATGGTTGTGTTAATAGCATCATTTTGTTGATGAGGTAAGCAATATATGGAGCATGGAACAGCTGTTGTGTCTTTTTCTTCCTGTAGATCTGGCTCTTCTTCTTCTTGTAAATTCAACAAAGGTAACTGAACGTATGGGCCAACTGAAAACCCAATATGTTGAGCAGATGTAGGGTTGAATATTGAAAATGAAACCAATTTTTTAGCCATATCAATCGTATGTGCAGTCTCCTTTTGATTATTAAAGTCACCACCAACCACGACAAGATCATTGTTATTTTCACCTTCTTCCTCCTCATCCATATTTATATCTTTCTCTTGGAAATTGGATCCTATTATCCTTGAAACACCTATATCTTTAACAGTTCTGGGTATACTAATTTCTAGTTCCCAAGTAGATTTCTCCCATAAACTATCGACACAAGGAACCCAAGAAGAAGTACTGACACCGATATCTGGATTAGAAGTGAAAGCATGCCATTCAGATCTGGGTAGTTGAGTACCTTTACCACCAACAAATACAAGACCTGATTTTGGATTTTTCAATTTATACTCAATTTTGATATTAACTGGAGTGTATACTGCTTCTGTGGCTGTGGAAGTTCTGTGACTACCTGGTGATTCTCTATAAGAAGGAGTTAAAGAATGGATTGTGGATGGATCATGTAATGTTAACTTCATTCTTTCTGGCATGAATATGACCAATTCTTCGGTATTTTCCCCAGAAAACATTTCCTTGAACTTATTTTTATAAAAATGATGTTGTGTGATATCATTAACAATTGGTTCATCAGTATGATCTTTGAAAGCAGAATATTCAGAATGTAATCTATCTTCATAAGCAAAATTAGCTCTTCTATTATTGACAAAAACTTCAGAAACCTCAAGTTGACGACTGTCTAGTTTCACTTGTCTTAAAACAGGCTCTGTCGGTATCACTATAAGCTCTGTTGTACCTGTTATAACATTGTTTTCCAAATCAACATCTATTGATATCTTTTGATGTGCAACTTTGTAGTTTTGACGTGAAAGAGGTTCCAGCCCTCTCCTTGCAAGAGCACCAGGCGTGCTGGCCGGCACACTTGGATGATCGTTAGAAGGTACTGCCATGAGCCTATCTCTATAGCCCTGAACTCTTTGTGAAAACGATCTCTTAATGGATCTCTTATCGGTCTAATTGTATTCCAAAACAAAGCTTTTGTATACTAAACTGGTCTTTCGCTTTTGTTGATGTTGAATTTTACCAAAAAACGATGTGTCTCTTACCGCTTTATTCGGTCATGTGATCTGCTTATGTCATGATCGCCAAATCGCGCTAAAATGCATTTCATATAATAGACATAAACTTTTAGAAAGCGCGTCTTCTTCTTCTTCTTTTGCAATAGAAAGATATAGAGTCAAGTATCAAGAAGGTTGAGAGATAATAACAATGGATCTTTTAGATGACTTGGAGCTCAGTCCTGTGAAATCTAAGACATTCAAGAAGAACATAGATTTGAAGGTGGACAATGATGTGGAAAATAGTGATGAAGAATCTAATGAGTTACCAACCTCAACTCCTGTGCTAAACGACATTTCCAATAATAAACCTGACACTGAAGCATCTAAACCAAAAGGTGTTCCATCCATTGCAAACTTATTCGGCTCTTCAGTATCCTTACTAGATAGAGTGAAAAAGAGGCTTAATGGTGAAAAATTAGATGAACCTGTACCAGAATCTGAAAAACCAACACAAGAGATCCAAACTCAGCTTATTGATAAAACACAAGAAACAACTACATCAAATACAACATCAGAGGAGAATCAAAGTACGCAAGAGATTGAACCTCCAACTCAACAAATCAATAACTCACATATACAAGAATCAACACAAGTTATCCCAACGAGTGAAAGTCAAAATCAAGATTCCATACTGTCAACTTCAAAGATGGATCAAACACAAAATGTAGATGATATTCCCTCATCTCAAATTACAAAATCATCAACAAAGTCACCAAGCTATGAAATATCAAAAGATGACATCAATGATGTCTTTGCAGAAGAACAAGATACACAAGTAGTTCTAAATCAACAAACTGCTCCCGTCAACGATCAACATGATGATGATGAAGATGACGAAGATGAAATCAGACAGCCTACGCGCTCTATTCCTAATATGTTTTCTGATGATGATGAAGAGGAGGAAGATTTACACACCAAAACTCAAGAAAAGAAGAAAAATAATAGCTTATTTATGGATTCTGAATCTGAAGATGATGAAGATAACAAGTTGAATGTTAAAGAAGAAGCACATAAAGAAGAAGATCTTGATCCAACTCAAGCTAGACTCAAGAAAATCGAACAATTGGCTGCTAAGAAGCGTGCTGAAAGGCTCTTGCGTGAACAACAAGAACGTGAGAAAGATCAAAATGATTTAACAACCTACAAACAACTTTCAGATCCAGTCAAAGGTGAATACGATGATGATGATGAAAATGAAGGTGATGTTTCAGTCTCTACTATCAAGCCAAAAAGAACTAAAACCAAGAAAGAATTAGAGGAAGAAGAACAAGAAAGAAGAAGACAAGCAAGAAGTGAACAATTACAACATGAAGAAAAAGTTGTTAAAAAGTTTGATAAGAATTCACTATTAGCTGCCTTTGGTATGGGAGATAATGTACCATCTGATAATATGTCAAGCCCACAGAAGCATCAATCTAGCCCTGCAACTTCACCATTACAAGAAGAAGAAAATGGTAAAGGACCAATTGTCAAGACTGAAAAGAGTGGAAATGTTGAACTATCAGATGAATCAGATGATGATGATGATTTCCAAGTTACTGATTTTTTTAACGAAGATAAGATGAAGAAAATGGAAGAAAAGGAAAAACCAAAATTTGTCCTTCAAACACCTTTCAATTTTAATAAACAAGCCACTGAAGTTATTGAATTAGATTCTGATTCTGATTCCGACATTGAAGAAGCCACATCAAAAGTTACAAGACTTGAAGTTAAAAGCAAATTCAGTAAACAGACTATGGGAAAACAAGCTCAAAAGAAAAAACAAGTATCAAGAAATCAATTGATTGCACATCTTAGAGAAAAGGCAAGAAACCAATTGAAAAAAGATAAAACTGATTTTGAAGAAGCTAATAAAGAGATCATTGCTGAAGTTGCTCAAGAACAAGATGCTGTTGATAAACTTCTAGATAAATTCATGGCAGCTGCTGATCGTCAAAAGGAAAAGGAAAAAATGATCAAAGAACAAAGAAAAAGAGCTAAAGAAGCTGGTGTTGAATTTAATGACAATGCTTACGATGATGAAAGCGATTATGCTGAAGTTCCTGACAGTGATTTTGATCAAAGTATGGATGAAAATGAAAGTGAAGGTGACGAAGATGCAGGTGATGAAGAAGGAAGTGATGAAGATAATGAAGCTGATGAAGAACAAAAAGACAACAACGAAGAAGAAGAAGAAGCTGATGGTGGTGATGATAAAGATAGAGAAGCTACAGAAGCTGAAATTAAACAACATTTACTAGCTAAAAAGCAAAATGATTCAGCTGAAGCTACAATCAACTGGGGTGACGATTCACAAGATTTTGGTGATCTTGAGGGCCTAAATGGTGGTGCAACTCAAAAACTTAAAATGCTTGGTATGGGTTTAACTCAAGCTTTTGAAACAGAGTCACCAAAAATTGATGGTAAAACAGTCAATATTTTTGATCAAATAAGAAATAAAAATAACCATGTTATTGGTGAAGAAGATTCATTCGTGGAAAGTTCATTAAAAGATAAATCATTTTCATACTCAATCAATTCTCAAAAACCTCGTGAGCTCAACTTTGATGAACCTGCTACCCAATTATCAGAAATAATGCCACCAACACAAGCTATATCAACTCAAAAAGATTCTATTGGTACCTTACATGATTCTGCACCACAGGATTCTTTCCAAGCCACAGTCAAAGATGATTATGGTGATTTTGCTGATGCTGAAGATGATGAAGATGATGAAGATGAACTACCTGTCAAAAGACATAGAATTAAAAGAGTTGTCAAAGATGATACAAAAGAATCTGATGTTGAAGATGAGAAGGAACAAGATGCTTTTAATGAAGAGGAAGAAGATGATGATGATGAAGAAGAAGAAGAAACTGAAGAAGAGAGAAGAAAAAGAGCTGATGCTATCAGGGCTGAGATTCGTAGACGTGAAAAAGAACAAGAAGATAGAAGATTAGAAATGAAGAAACAAGGCCTTGATAAAATTATGGAAAATGAAGCTGAAGAATCTGAAGATGAATGGCAAGGTATTGGTGGTATTGATGGTGAGAAATTCGATGAAGAAAATTCTGAAGATGAAAAAATGTTGGATGATTACTCTAAAGTTAATTTGAATAAAGAAGAACTTGATAAATTCATTGCTGAGCAAGAAAATATTAAAGATAAAAAACTTCTTACAAAAGTTTTAAAAGATGTTGATGAACATTTCAAGAGTAAAAAAGGTGATAGAAGTCTTGATATTGAAGTTGATGGTGATGATGATGAAGTTATTCAAAGATATAATAGATTAAGAAATGAAAAAATGAGACAAAGACTTTTAGAAAACATGGAAGTTGCTAAATTATCAAAAGATGCTAAAGCTAAAGCATTTTTCCAATCTATTGCAGAAGATTCACAAAATCCAATCAATGAAATATTTGGTGGTAATGAAACTGATAGTGATGCACAATCTGATTTAGATAATGAAGAAGATGATCCATTCGTTGAAAAACAAGAAATCACTAAAGATCAAATGCAAGATCCAGATAATGCACCAAAGAAGAAGAAAACAATAAAAATCACTGAAGCTTATGTTCAAAAAACATTATCATTTTTGAATGATGATGAAGATGATAAAATTGAACAAAATGCAGCTTTTGCAGCTCATCAACATGGGTTCTTGGATGATGATGATGATTTTGGTGATGATTTACATAGTTTAAAACAAAAATCAATCATTAGAATGCCTGAAACAACACCACAAAGAAAATCTACTATTGATTTAACAAATGAAGAAGATCAATCACCAACACAATTTTTCAAGATGCCATCTAAGATTATGAAATCATTCCAATCTAATAGTAATGATTCATTTAAGAATAAAAATGAAGTTACTGTTTCAACTGCTTATAAAGCTGCTACTAGTTCAAAAGCTTCAATTATGTCATTTGGTAAAACCAAAAATACTGAAACTAAGCAACCTTCTAAAAGAGTATCACAATCACAAGACACTAGAGTTTTAAAAGCTCGTAAGATTGAAAGAACATTGAAGAAAGGTAACAAGTTGAAAAAATTGAATACAGAAGCTTTTGAATAATAGGGTTAAGGTTATGGTCATTTTGCATTTTTGGTTAGGTTAATTTGTTTGTTTTATATAATTATTGTACAATAGGTTTAAAATATAATATAATTGCATTAGATAATATTAATATAATTGTATATTTTGTAAATTAAAAATAGTGAAACCTGATATCGCGCCAAAAAAAGAGTATAAAACGAACTGAAATATTAAAAAAGCAAATTGAATTGTCTAAAATAAAAGCAAATTAACAATTGGGTATAAATCAAATATAAGACAATGCTAAGAATGTGAAAAATAATTGGAAATCAAATCTATAAATATGCAGGTGTAATTGAGTAGCAAAGTTTGGGTTGTAAGATTTATTAATAAATAATATTTGGTATCATGATGATCATTCGAAACTGAAATCATTATTTAAAGCTTCTTTTAATGCTGCATGACTAACTTTAGAACTAATGACAAGGCTTTGTCCCAAAGTTGATGATTCACCATGTTGAACAATTTTAGATCTATTAGGACCTATAGTTAAAGTTGAAAAACTTCCTTTGATTTTATCATTTGGAGCTAGTGATGATGAGATGTGTGGTTTATTGAAATTGTTGTCTTGATGATTTATTTTAATTGGTTGAACTCTAGGAATAGGTCTTCCAACTTCTGAAGTAACAAGACTACTTGATGGAACCATGGCTTTTGGTTTAAATCTGTCTAATAATAATGACCATTGTTTATGTTGTGGTGAGTTTGAATATGAAGCTTCAAAAGAATGATATGATGAGCTATCATCAACTGAAAGTTGTCTTCTAGCTGGCATTGGTATGGATTGAGCAGTTGATGCTTCTGTGTAAAATGGACTTGAAGTTGAAGTTGCAATAGGTGAAGTCATTGGTGATGATGATCCATCAGAAGTTGCAGCTAATGGTGATGATTTCTTTGAAGCGAATAAGAATGGAAATCTATTTGCTGGAGTTGGTTTAGGAACTGATGAATTTTGAGTAACCAGATCAGTAAGTGCCTTACGACTTGGTGAAGAAATTGAAGAAGATAGATTATTGACAGATAATGTTGTAACATTTGATTCTTTTGTTGAAATTGTATTTTGAGGTTTTGAAAATTGTTTCATCCAATTCATAGTTTGTTGCTTATTATCAGTTAATGGAATATAAGGTTCTGTCTTCATTGTTGAAAATATACTATCACACGAGTTTGATCTATTCAGCTTATGCTCAAATACAGCAACTTCCTCTTTCTCCAAATGAGGGTCTTCTTCCAAATTCATAGACTCTTTAATTGGTTCCTCAAGCTCTTTACCTTTTGATGCAATAGTAGGTTTTGGTTTCAAAAAGGATTCTAAATGTATTGAAACCGGCGAGTTCAAGAATTCTGAATCTTTGACATCTTCTTCATCTTCTTCCATAATAGCACCTCTAGTCTTCAATCCTGTTTCATGAGATATAAAATGTCTTAAACTGAATTTTCTATTCTTTGTATTTTCTGGTGATAATGGATCTTCAGCAAGGTTAAATTTCACAGTATCGAGCATGTTTGAAACGATAGATTCTGGTAATGAGGATGATCTTGTATGTTTATTAATTGTTGCATGAGAGTTTCTTCTTGATGATGAACGTTTAATATTGGATAATGGAGAAACCATAGAATCATCTTGATAATTGAAATAATCAGTTGTAGTATCACCCATTGTATTATCAAATGATGTTTCAGGTGTGGGTAGTGATTGAACATTTTTGGTTTGAGGTTGTGTTTGAGGTCTATAAATTGTTGGTATTGAAGCAACAGGTCTTTTCTTATTAAGTTCTAATGAATTTCTTCTTTGTTTTTCTTGTTTTCTTGATACTATTCTCATAGGTTTCAGTTTCATATCAGCCATACTCATTTTATTTTGTAAAGTTGGTCTTTGATTTGTAACTTCTTCATCAAAAACAGGTGCTGGATTAAATTGTCTCATCAATACTGCTTTGAAAGCCTCTGGATCTTGTAGTTGTTCCATTTGTTTTGTTAAATATTGATATTCCAAATATAAATTCTCTAATGTGGCTTCAGTAGTTCTCCAATTTAAATCATCATCTTTCCAATCATTCAAGCTAGGCATCCCTTCTGAAGACCTTAATGAGTCTAATTGATCATGAGCCTCTAACATATTCAATTGAGCTTCGAAAAACTCACTTCTTATCAATAATGAATTCAATTGTGATAAATAATATTGATATTGTTGTAAATTCCCAGTAAGACCATCTATCTTATGATCTATTTGTGATATTAGATTGTTTGATTTCCTAAGCGAACTTGTAAGATCTATATTTTCTTCAATTTTATTGAGTACACTATTTGATTTTTGTAATAATCGATCCGTTATACCAATAACATTCATATTTAATACCTTATCATCATGTCTTTGTGATAACTTGGGTTCTGACATGTTGATTTTTGATATTGTTCCCTGGTTTGTCATTCAAGCCATAAATGCAAAATGGTCTTTTATATCCTTTTGTGTCTACCAGTAGGGGTAAAAGGCCTATTTCAAATCCAATGAAAGTTATATAAACAGCGGCAGTGTTTAATACCCAATGAATGAGTAACAGGGTATGATTGGGATTGTATGTTCTGGAAGGTTGAAAATTGAAAGATTGGTACAAAATAACTAAGCTTTTTCCTCTTGATCAATTAACTTCCAAATTGGCTGCTTTACTGATGAACGCCATACAATTTTTTTTTTTTTCGCTGTATATGAAAAGTATAAACAAAAAAGGTAAACAAAAAATTACACTTTTAAAACCGGGGCAACAAAGATTTTTTTTGCAATAGATACTGTAAAAAAATTCGCCTAAAAATTAACGAAGAAAAAAGTATAAAATGGAAAACTAGTGAAAGATATCAGAATAAATCAATTACTAGCTATACCTTGAAGCTATTATATCAATGACAACACAAGACCTTTTTTCTTCGTGTGTTTATACGCTCATCAACTGAGAAGTTAAAACCTTGTTGATGCTGTATAGTCAATCCTCACATAGTGCGCGAAAAAGGATCAGTTTCCTGAGAGATCTGGCCAGATCTGGACCTGGACACTTCCCAAAATGGCAGATTTTTTGGAAATTTTACCAAAATCTTTAAATCAATTTAATACGAAATTTTTGTATTACAATATAAACATTTTAATCTGGTAATATGTAATTTGAAATGATAGCTTTATTTTGATATATTAAAATATGCTAAATTTTGAGTTTGAATTTTTACAATCTTTTATAAGTTTAAATTTAAAAGTAAAAATAAAATTTTGAAGATTGACAAATTTTAATTTCATAAAAATCACAAATTCAAAACTTTATAAATCTTGATAAAAACATTATTATTAAGTAATAGGTACATTTAATTTTAATTATATTTAATAAAATTACTATATTGCTTAACAAGATTTTGAATAATTTCAAGAATTAAACATTGTTGATTACATAATCGCTGACTAAAGTATATAGCTATTAATTATTCCGTAAGAATCCGAAAGAAAGATAAAGATCATGTTCTCATTATAAATTAGCTTATAACAATTTTTGGAAATATAGTTTAATCAAAGATTGTGAAATATAATAACACTACAAAATACACCATCAATTCATAAAATCAAATCAATTATATTATATACAACTATTAATCATTAAAACCTATTATTATAACCTAAATCATTTTTTTCATCATTATCATATCTACTATACCTACTTGATCTACTCAATACATTACTAACATTATCTGCATAATCAGCTTCATCAAATGGATTAGGTGTTAGATGTCTTGTTGTTCTTCTTGTGGGTAGTTCAGTTAATGTTGATTTATCATCATCATCAGAATCTTGATTTGGTATTATACCATTATCATTGTATGAATATTTTTCATCTAGGAATGGGTTTTTCATTTCATATGATGATTTTGGTTTTTCATTTAATTGATTATTATCATTGAATGGATTATCATCATACATTTGTTTTTCTTGATTTGAAAGGTTTATAACTTTTAAATTTGAAGTTAATGGATATCCATATAATTTTTGTTCATCTTCAGTTAATTGTCTTGGATAACCAATTTGTAAAATCCCAGTGGGTTGTTGATTTTTATTAAACCAAGTTTGATTAATCCATAACATTAATAAACCAATTATAAATTGTAAAAACCAAAGACCTAATAATACTAATGATATATATAATTCAAACATCAAACTTTTTTTATATTGTTTAATTAAAGTTTTCAACATTGAACTCATTAAATCTTCAGTTTTAGAGATCATTCCACTTGCCTTATTAGTTATCCCACCAATATCACCTTGTGTACCATTTGTAGTTTCATTTGACCAAGCTTGAGTTAAATATTCATCTTCAACTCTAGGTAAAGAAATTTCAGCATTATCATGAATCCAAGTCAAACCTTTTTCAATTTTAATTAATTTATTTTCAATAACACAACCAACAATAGTTTTAACAGGGTTATATAAGATAGTACCATTAAAAGCAGTACTTATAGCATCATTCATATCTTCAACAAAAGTTGAAATTGTATCATTAACAGAATCCGTTGCAATTTTAACCCATTTAAATAAATCTTCATTTATATCAGTTTCTTTATTTTGTAAATAATCATTTGTTGAATCTGTCCATTCAGTTATTGAATCATCAATATGAGTAGTTATTGAATTTGTTATATCATCAAATGGAGAATTTGCCTTATTCATTGATTTAATTAATATTGAAAGGATTATGAATTGTAATATCACAGCTAAGATACCAGCCATTGCTATCCCTAATAAGATTAAAGCTCTTGATGATAATATATATGAAATTAACCAACGAATTTTCAATTGTAATGAATTTTCAGTTGTTATTAAATTGGAAGTTTTCAAACCAATCATTGATGGAATTTTATTAAAAGTTTGATCATAAATTTCAATTGGATCAGAATTATTTTGGACATTTTTCTCTAATAATCTTAAACGTCTCCATAATCTAAATTCTTCCCAAATTATTGGTATTAATGCCATAATTGAACCAATTACTAATAATGCAACGAATATTTTAACCATTATTGTAATATCTTTTGATAAATCATGATAAAATTTATTTATTTTATCACTATTATCAGAACATATAGTTACAGTTTTCAATTCAGGTACGAAAAGTTCATCCCCCTGGGTATTCATAACTGTGGTATTTGATAATTTTTCTCTAATCATTTCAAATGGAGTTTTAATTAAATTTTCAGTTTTATTTTTAACTTCTTCAAAATCAGGTGTTTTATCTTTTAATTCATCTAATTTTGAATTTATTGAACTTGGAATATTTAAATTTTTCAAAGCATCAATACTTAAATTAACATGTTTAAAAGCATCTGTATCATTTTTTGAATCATCACCATCGAAAAAATCTTTAACTTTTTCAGCTGCATCAACAGCTTTATTTACCAACTTGGAAATATCAGTTAAACCATCTTCAATATCATCAGTTATATCAACAAGAGAATCATTAACCCAACCAATGATATGTTCAGTAGAATTAACAGCAACATCCACTGCACCATCAATTGTAGAAACTAATATACAAGCATAAGTACCAATAATCATATCTAATGCAAATATAATTAAATTTTCAGCACCTGTTAAGATAAGTCCTAACCCATCCAGGGTTTTTTCATTAATTTCATCAATAGTTTTCAAGATTAAAAAATTTGAAGATTTTGCAATATAATGAGGAAATGAAATCATATTTGATACATAAGTATCTATTGTTGGACAAGTGTTTAAAGTATAATTTTTAGCATTTTCCAAAGAGGAATTTAATGATTGATGGAATAGTAATAGTTTTAGTGCTATAAGGATTAATAAAATGGTGTATTTGTTTAACCAAGCTTGTGATATTCGATCTTTTAGTGTTAGATATGGTTTCATTTTGGTGTGTGTGGTAATAGCAGTAACAACGAATCCTTTGATAAGCCCATGATTAAGAAGAAACTAGTTTAAGTGGATACCATTATCATTTTATTGATTATTTCTCAATTCAACACAATGTTTGATGCTGGTGGGTTTTCGGTTTTGTTGATGTTTTGAACATGTTATGAATATGAAACAAAATGTAAACATTGAGGAAACAAAACATCAAAACACCAAAATAACAAAACATAAGCTCACCGTTTCACATGTAAGGGAGCGTAATGGTTATCTGAGGTGTAAGAGATTGTGTTAATTGTGTTCTGATTGTGTTTTCCTGGTTTTGTTGTAGTATTTCATGGAAAATGTTTAAATATTCAGTGTTGTGTTTTCACTCTTCAACCTCAAAACAAAGTCCGAGTAAATCAAAACACAACAGTGAGAACAGTCAAACAGGGTCTAGAGATCGCTATCAACAAATGATATAGATAGTGTATATACAATAGACGAGTGTATTACTACAAACATACTAATAAATGACATTCATTACTATTTCATATCCATCACCATCACCTCATCTTCACCTTATCACCTTATCTTCATCACCACCATCAAAGACTTGAACGACCAGTACCAGATTTTGGAGGATATTTCAAATTACTTGATTCATCAGTAACGTTGTGTCTGCAAGTACACCTTATAAATGTTAGTATTCATTGTATCCATTGTGATTAAGGTGGCGGTTAACTTACCAGAATTTAGTTGGAGTATCATCCATTACTGAAGAGACATGGGCACCACATCCAGTCCAACTTTTCTTATGACAAAGAGCACAGATAGAACTCATACACATGTTGATATTGTATTATATTGATTGTTGTTGTTGATTGTTTGACTAATAGTTGATAGTTGATTGATTGAATCTTGTCAAAAATCAGGAATTCAACTTTATATATCAGATTTAAATCTCCTTTAAACCAAATTTAATTTTCCAGTCGTTTGCACTTATTCGAAATCGGACTTTTTTGAATTATGGTACAATCAGTTTCAAAGTCCGGGGTATTTGTACTTAGTAAACCAGGATTACAACATTTTATTGGCCAGTGGGAATCAGGATAATCAGGAGTACATCGGTGGAATTCATGGAATTCATGGGGGTATATTGGTTAATGGACACGGTAACCGGTTATATGAAGTCATTGTACTGATATAGTTGAAATCATTGGTTATGGTTTATCCGTATGATATCATATAGATATATAGATATAGATAGATATAGATAGATGTAGATAGATACAATATAGATAACACTAAATCAACTAATACATAATATACTGACGAAACACATCATTCATTCTATACAGATATAATATACATATTAATAGTATACTCAAGCTACTCAAGCTACACTAATAAATCCCCCATGCATCTTCACATCCATGACAAAATTTAGAACATGCAACTGATGCACTTAATGGATAATCACTAAGACCAATTTTTTCATCAACAAATTCATCTGCAAAATTATCTTTACCTCTTGCCATTGCACCAACAAATACACAAATACTTTCATTTTCATCTAATTTTTCAACATAATCTTGAACTTTTGTTAATTTTGCATCAAATGATAATGTAATTTTTTTACATTTAATTGGTAAATGATCCGTTATTGGATTTTTAATAACTTTTAATAATTTATCCTCTGAATTAACACTTCTAATACTTAATTTATGTAATAATTGAACCATTAATCCTGAAAATCTTTTAAAAGTTCTAGGTATACGAACTGAAGGATTAACTTCAATCAATACACCACGAGCAGTTTGAATATAAACTTGTAATTTACCTGCTTTATTTATTGGTGAATCTAATAATGTTAAAAGACATTGATGTGTAATATCTGGTCTTGCTTCTGATATATCACGTCCCATTTTTTTCAATAAACCTTGATGATCATCACAATTCAACAAAGCATATTTATCTTGACCTGGTCCATGACCTGAACTAATCTTATGAGTTTCTAAACATGCTGCACTTAAAACAACAATTAATCTTTTAGTATCTTTATCTTTTGATGTCACAGGTTTTGGTTGTTCTGGAATTAAGGAAGCTGGTAATGCTTCTTTTTTACTGGTTTCTTTTGTGGAGCTCATAATATACCGTTATAAATCAATATGAATATCAATAAACCCTTTATAAATCAATATAAAACCCTTAAATCAACATCCAAATCTTTTCTACTCATCTTTATTATTGGAATTTTTCACACTTTGAAATTTTTTACCTGCCAAAAAAAAAAAACAATCTGATTATGTCATCATATTAAATTAAATCAATTAATTAGATCTAAACAACAGTACAACTAGTAGTTTACCAGTATTTGCCACCATTTATAATCATTATGGACTTCAGTGATGATGATGGGTTTAGTGATGATGATGAATTCATCGCATTGACACTTAAACCACCACCAAGAGCTACAGCTACCCAACAAACACCACAACCACATTTACAAGTAACTTCATCAAGATCAAATCAAATATCAACAAATCATGATTCTCAAAACTTTGGTAATACATTGGGTAACACATTGGGGAATGTTAATACACAAGATAATGAAATATTCATTGCTAAAGGTGAAATTGCAGTTTTAAGAGCTAAAATATCAGAATTAGAAAGATTAAAAAATTTAGAACGTGATGAATTATTAAATAAACAACAACAAGAAAAATCTTTAAATGAAAATAAAATTAATGCTTTGGAGAATGCTGTACAAAGATTAGAAGATGAAAGAAAATTTCTTTCAGTAGAAATTAGAAATTTAAATCATATAAGAAAGAAAAAAAAACCTAATGAATCAACACCAGAACCAAAAGAACCAGAGCCAAAACCAAAACAAACTAGACAATCAACTCCACAACAACAAGTACCACCACCAGTACCACCAGTAGTACAACCACCACCGCCAAAGCCTAAAACAATCAGATTATCACATCCTAAACAACAAACTTCTGAAAATCTATTATTTATTCAATCATTACAATCACATACATTACCATCATGTCCCAGATCAACTCTAAATTATTTATCACATATTTCAATCCCCAAACCATTCGAAAACCAAGAAGATCTCATGTTTCAAATCCCACAAGATCAACCTTTAGAAACTTATATTTTAAAATATTTAATGGTTTTACAATCTTCACATAGATTAGATAATCTTTTAACACAATTTATATTAAATTTATTAAAATTAATTAAATTCATTCATTTAGAAATCCAAAAAAATCATGTTTCGTTACCATTCTTAACTTCATTAATCCATTGTTGTATTGGATTTAGACCAATGGCTATTACACCCAAGGTAAGGTATGAAATTTTTCAATCAAGTTTAAACTTAATCCAATTTTTTTCATATATTATTAAAAAACATGAATTTATTGATGATGATTTATTAAATTTAAAAAAATTTCAAATTGGAATTGTTCAGAATAAAGTACTTGATGGTTTAATTTATCAATTTAATGTTGAAGTTTTAGAAAATTTACTATTGATTGAAAATGATTTAAATTCAATTGAATCATTTTGGAACATGATACAACCCGATGAATTGGAAATTTTTTCAAATTCTATTAAATTAGGTATAAATTCTGGTTGTATTGGTGTTATGTATTCATATATTGAAATATTAATTATATTAAATGAATATGATAATTTAGGATTCTTAGATTTAAATTTATTAAATTTATTAAGTAAAAATTTTTATGATGAAATTGATGGAGTTATAGATTTAGAATTTATTGGGATGAATAGAATGTTTCAAGATGAAATTGAATCATGGAGATTAATTGATGGATTAGTATTACAAGAAGGAGTTTCATCACAACAACAAGTTATTTATTCATTAGAAGATAGGTTTACTTTTAATAAATTAGAATTTAAATTTATTAATTTACAATTAAAAATTTGTGAATTATTTGAAATTTTCCTTATAAATAACATTTCAAAAGATGATGAGATAACCATTATAAAAAATTCAAATTTATTGAAAACTTTAATTACAAGTATTGGTAAACAACAAGAATTTATTTTTAAAACACCTCGTGGTCAAATAACACATCTTAGATCAAAATTAATTTCAAATTTTATAAAATTAATTCATTTCATATGGGAATTATCAATATCAACAACAAATTATATCCCAAGATTAACAAAAGATTTAACTCATGAATTAATAATAACATTATCTCGTATAGCATTCAGTTCAAATGAAACAAATAATGAAGCATCTGAATTCATATATAAATTCAGATCAATAGATTCAAACTCCACAATTTTCAACCAAAGAAGTGAATCAAGATCAAGAGAATTAAACCATATATTAACTCAAGATAATAATATAGATTTAATTGTTAATGCAGAGATATCAATAAGTAATGGTATAGAATTTGCTTATGATGATATAATTGTGGAATTATCAAGAGATATATTGGAAAAATGTACTACAATGGATGAAGCTGATAATTTATATTTATCAATGAATGTATAGTTTGGCTGTGTCCTTTAATGAAGTTATGAAGTGATGTATTTCTGGTATGGTTCGTATTAAAGTAAATATTAGTAGTATAATATGTAATAGTATGAATATTATACTATTGTATAGTATAATAGATTTATTTGCTATCGCAAATACTTCTTTATCTTCGCATGATAATGTTATTACAAATACAGCATAATATTTATCGCATAATAGTATTACATATAAACATTATGCTATCGCATAATGTTTGCATAATGTTTCAATTATTACTTTAAAACCTTTATTAACACACTAAATAGCACCCAAATGATTTATTTAAGCAGATGGAGATTGTGGTTTAGCAACACCAGTTTGGAAATTGTTTTTAAATCTTCTTGGTAAGTTTTTCAAGTATTGTTGACGACCAGTACCGGTAGTATGTCTTCTTTTAGCTTTTTGAGCCCAGTTATGAGATCTAATTTTAGCTGATGGATAACCACATGAAGCACAAGTTTTTTTTTGAACGTGGAATGAACGACGACCACATCTGTTACACAAAGTGTGTGATTTGTTGTGACGTTTACCGAAAGAAGGAGTACCTTCTGTTGTTATATTGTGTTAGTATCTGATTGATTTATGGTTTAAATCCAATCTTGGGACAAAAATGAAGTGGGTTTGGTTATTAGTAGGATCAGAGGTCTGTTTGAAATATGGCTCTCTTTGAAATACTTGATTGACATGGTACTGTTATTACTGTTTCTCTATTGAATACTTGTGTTATTTGATAACTCCCATAGTTAAAAATCCCATAGTATGTATATCTTCAATTACTATAATCTTTCATTGTAATGACAAACATTTGAAATTATTGATAGTTGACAGCTGATCACATAGATCACACATAGATTACTTATTTGATTGATTCATATCTTGTTGATGTTTTACATTAATTTCTCACCATATTGAAAATTTTCACTCCGATACTTTATTGAATTTACTTTACATCTATGATTCCTCTGATCTTTGACTACCTTTCACTCTCTCTTCTCCTTGTCCCAGTACCGGTATTGATATTATCATGGACCTGTACTTACTACCCATGTTTGATTATATTCTTTGTGTACTAAGACTCGTTAATCAAGTGTTGAAGTAAACAAAATTCAAGTATTAAAATTTGTTTTTCACCAAAGGACACTTTCCCACCAAAACGAACACACTCAGTACAAACGCACACAAATTGAAAGAGTGATGAGTTTTCGCGGAAGTACTGGGGGCTTATGTAACACAGCGGCTTTGTGAGTTTTATTTCAATGTTGCAAAGGGACACACAACAATTCTGTTTGGATTGGGAGTTGGAAAAAGGAAAAGTTAATTTGGTGTATGGATGTATGATATAGTCATGTGCAAGGTAGGGCTAGGTCATGTGATATATGAGATAGGGCTTCACAAAAATCAAATTTATACAAAGCAGTACATTCTACAGAGGTAATAAAAGACAAAACCATACAAAAGACAAGTATACTACCATTAACTCAAAGATCACTTAAACAACCTATATACTGACTCACACCCTCTTCTCTTCATATCCCCATTACCATCTATCATTCCAATTTCCATTGACTCTAGTCTTCCACATTCCTATCATTCAACATTCAACGCGTTCAATTCTTTTAAGCGTGTTTCTTGATGTTTTTCGCGTTTGTTTACTTTTCAACCTATACCTCTGATAAATTTCAATCGTGTCTTGCGTCTGAGAATTTCCAATGTAAACAGATTCCATAGTACCATACGCCAAATTTGAAGTGAATTATTCACAAACCATACAAATCATAGTTAATAGTGTTGAAAGTGTCCATAGGTCATAGTTGAAAGCTCAATAGTTTGATACAAGATTTAATATGAGCTTCTCTCAATTCCCACCTTCATCTCCATTTTTGGATACTCATGAAGAAGATGTGGATCCATTTAGTTTTAAATCTAAAAAACAATTCATCATCAACACTCCATTCAATAACCAAAAGTCTTCAAAACAATCTCCAATTAAAGAAACTTATCCAACTCCAAATCCAAGTTCTTCAATTGGTCAAATTCGTTCTTCATCTCCTGCTCGTGATTCTTCAAATACTACAAATCAACAACTTCAAAACCAATCTTCAAATTTATCAGATGAAGAAAATCAAACTGTGGAATATAAAAATCCATTAGATGATGCTCTTAGAGTTAAATTAAATTCAAATCAAACAATTACTCTTGGTAGATCAAATCGTTGTGATTATTTTATTAGATCAAAATTCGCATCTCGTCTTCATTTAAAATTACAATATTTAAAAGATTCAAATGAATTGAAAATCTTATGTCAAGGTTTTAATGGTGTTGTTATTAATTTTGGTACTGAATTAAAAGGTTTTATAAAACAATTAGAAAATAATACATTTTATTTCCAAAAAGATTCAACTAATGATAATAAAGATTCACAAATTTTCAAAGATTTATCTGTTTTCAGAGATGAACAAATCACAGTTCCTTATTTAGATACTTTAACTTTAGACTTAAAAGGTCATGTTACTTTATTAGATTTAAATTTAAATGAAAATGATGATTCGGAAACTGAAGATGAATTACCAGTCCTAAGTAATCAATATAGATCAAGTTTAAGTCCTTCAAATTTTGAAAAAGTTTCTTTGAAACCTATTGAGCATAAAGATATTGGGGAAAATAAAGAATCAATCAAATCAATTGAAACTAAACCAGAAGTTAAGGAAGTTAAACAAGAAGTTAAACCAGAAGTTAAACCAATTGAAAAGAAAGTTGAAATTGAAGCAACTCCAAAAATTGAATCAAAAGAACAACTATCAGAAAAATTAATTAAAACTCCAGAATTAAATCATTCAAAATCAATGGAAACTATCAATTCTATTGATATTTCTACAAATTCAAGATCAAAATCTGTTGAACCATCAATTAAACAATCTTCATCAAATACAACACCATTACAACCAAAATCAGAATCACAATTGAACAAACAATCACAACAACTATCACAACAACAACAACAACAACAACAACAACAACAACAACGTCGTCGTAAAGCTGAACCAGGTTTATCACCACAAAAAAAGAAACAAATCATAAAACATCAACAACCAAAAGAAAAAATTTCACAATTAAATATTAAAGAAATTATTAAAACTGTTCAAGATTTATCAAATGTTCAAAATGTCCTAATTAATCATTTAGCTTTTTCAAGAACTTCACAAACTCCTTTATATCAATTACAAACTGTTAGTAATGTTACTCAATCATTAACTCGTACTCAATTACGTGCCATCTTGTTTGATATGTCATGTATTGGAACCATTTATAGAAAGGGGAAAGATGCTGCTGGGAAACCATTAGATGAAGAATATTATTATGATTTAGAAAAAGATCAAGATATTGATAGAAAAACTCTTGTTGAAAGTGTTAAAGGTGCAAGTGCAGGTTTAAGAAATTGTAGAAAAACTCATAAACAATATTTTTGGAGAAAACCAACAAAATAAGAGAAAAATAGAGTTAACTTGCTAATTTTTTGATCAAAACAGAGACGAATCATAAGGGTGTATATTAGGTTTATTGTATAATAGTTAATAGTTTAAGAAGTATATGAAATTAATTATGTTAACTTTTTGTAAGATATCGGATAAATGAATATTATGATATCTCGGATAAATGAATACACGACATCAAATACCCATTCTTAGTTGAAAAAATCAACTCCGCGTAAAACCTTGAAACAAATAAGTACTCAATATAAACATACTATATATCATAACAAAACATAATGGGACTACCATTAGTTAATCCACGTGAAGAGAAACAAGATTCAGATACAGAAAACTTCAATGATTCAGATTCAGAATCATATACAGAACCATTATTTGTGGAATTAATCAATAGAAAAAATCCAATATATGATGAACAAAGTAAAATTTGGAAATTTTATGATTTTGATATAGATTCATCCATTGCTAGTTGTTTATATAAAGGTTGTGAAAAGACTTATTCAATATTAGATGTGAGGATAGCAAATAGTACAAGTCCATTATTTAGACATTTGGATAATAGTCATGATATAACAAGAGGTATGGTTTTAGGTCAAGAACCATTAAGTATTTATACAAGACCTGAATCAGTTGATTTTGAAGGTATTGCCTTAAGTCTTGCTAAAGTAATTTTAACAGGTGGTGTATCGCCAAGTATGATTTTGACTAAAGAAAATTTTCAAGATTTTGCTAATTTAATATCAATTGCTTCTGATGAAATTACAGAAGTTGAAACAGAACAAATTAGAGAAATGATTCGTAATCATTTAATACAATGGGATGTTATTTTTGAAAGTGAATTTGAAGAGGAACAATTTTATTTTGATGATGAACAGAAAAAATGGATTAGAGGAGAACCTAATTTTGATAATCTTGATTGGTTTGATTGAGTATCTATCATGTGTGATATGTGAAGCAAAAACAAGAACATAAAGTATTAAAGTGTTATAATTTTAATTTATATATAATGAATATAGAATGATCAATATAAAATAAATTACTTCGCGTAGTATAATATACATGCGCATTTACTTATATACATACTAGAGAAGTGAACACCATCTTCTACATTATACAAATTTCAAAATGTTCATATATATCAATTATAATTAAAATTATATAAAATCTATTAACAAAAAACACACAATTAAACAGTTCAGTTCAGTATGATATATATATATATTTATATTCAAATGTAAAAAAAATAAAAACTTATAACTAAAAAATGACAAACCATTAAAAATTAATTTTTAAAATTGCAAAAACGAAAACTTCAATAACAAAAAAACAAATAAAAAAAACTGTCTCTAAAATCACATAATATACATTACCAACATAACCAAATCAAAAAGAATCAAGTTCTTTTTTCTAAATCAATTAGAAAAAGCTAAAACATTTTCTCTATTTAAAATTCTTTCAATCTCATTAACTAAAGTTTTAAAACTTTTAGTTGAACCTTTAATTTTTTCAAATTTAATACATGAACCTTTCTTACCATAATTTTCAACATTTAATTTAAATTTAGTACTATTCATACTCATAATATTATTTTTAGAAATTTCACCTTCTAAAACTAATAAATCATCTTTAGCATTAATATTTTTCAAACCATAATCATTCCAACCCATTAATAATCTTTTCAAAGTTTGATACATTTCCATTGGTTCATAAACTGTATTTAAAGTCTTACCAGGAATAGGTGTTGGATTTGATGTAAATTTTTTGAAAAAATTTGTTGATTGTGGAATTGGTTGTTCTTGACCATCAATAATAATTGGATCTTTTTTACCTAATGACCATTTTCTAAAGAAGCCACCACTACCAGATCTTTTATTATTATTATTGTTATTACTAGTTGTAACATCTTGTAATGGATCTTTATGAATTTGAGTTGTAGATATGGATGCATTAGCAGGAACTGTTGGAGCATTTCTTTTTGGTTTTGGTAAAGTTTTAGATTCAATTTGTGATTGTCTTCTATATGGTTTATCATTTTGTTGATGTTGAGGATTATTAAAATCTTGATGAATTGGAATTTTATTCTTTTTAGGTTTAATAGCTGTAGAAATTGGATCTAATTCATCTGGTAAATCTGGAATATTTAATCCTTTATACATAGAATCATCTGCATGTTGAGTAACTTCTTCATCATCAACTTCATTCAATTTATCATCATTTGAATCATTTGTCAAGATTGGAGTTGATTCTTCAGTTGATTCTTGTAATGCAGTTAAACGATCAGCATAACTTAATCTTAACCCACTTGATTTTGAATGAGATTGAGCAGTTTTTTTTGGAGATTCTTGTTGAATTAATGGTGAAGATTTTTTAACTTGATAATTATTTGTTTGTGGAACTTCATCTAATTCTTTTAATTTAGCAGCTAAATTTGTATAAGAATCTTTTGTTGAATACATTGATAAAACTGATAATCTTTTATTTGATGCAGAAAAATGTCTTGATTTTCTTGTAACTTGAGGAATTTTAACATCTGCAATAGTTCTTGGTCCATTATAATCAACAACTTGAGATTCTCTTTTTTCAATTTTTGATAATCTTTTATTATTATCAACTTGATTATCAATTTGTTCATCATTAAATTGTTTTGGAATTTGTTTTTGTTTATTTAAAGTTCCATTTCTTTTTAAATCTAAATCAAATTTTGAACCAAGAAATTTTGATCTTCTAATAGCTTGAACAACTGAATCATTTTCATCATAATAAAATTTTGAAGTTCTCCAATTTTTTTCATTAATATTTAAACCAGGATCTAATCTTGATTTTGGTCTTGCAGTTAAAGGATGAGAAATAGCTCTTTGTTGAATCTTGGAAATTTCATCTTTATCAATAATTTGAGAAATTCGTTCATTTGGTCCACTTACTGAACGTAATTTATTATTATCAATCTTGGAACCACCATTAACATTACCAAATTCATCTTCATCCATAACAACACCACCTCTTGAATTTAGTTCAGCTTCAGCAAGAGCTCTTTGTTTAGCTTCTTCTTCAATTCTTTTAGCTTCTTCTTCAGCTTTTAATTTAGCTTCTTCTTCTTCTCTAATTCTAGCTAATTCTAATTGTTTAGCACGTTCAATTTTTAATCTTTCTTGTCTTAATTTTTCATGTTTTTCATGTTCAAAAATTTCATCACAAAGAGTTGCAAAATCTGATGAAGTTCTCTTGGCTTCTTTATCAATATATTCCCAATCATTATCATTTGCTAATTTGGCATAAACTGCAATTAATTTCGAAGTAACAGAAGATCTTTTTGATGGTAATAAAGAAGTTCTCATTGATCTTCTTTTAGATTGTGATTTTTTCATAACACCTTGACCAGAAGAATGAATTGGAGCAATTGGAGCAATATTTGAACCATTTGATTGTAATCCTAATCCAGAAGCAATAGGAACAGATTGTTGAGGAGCACTGAAAGTATAATCATTCATGATATTCTTTGGAACTGGTGGTTGTTGTGATTGTTGTTGTTGATTATTATTATTATTATTTGATAAATCATTTAAATCTTTTAAAGATCTTCTATTGGTTTTAGTATTAAAAGAAACAGATTTTCTATGAGATGAAGAAACACTAATAACAGATCTTCTATTTTTTTTTGGAGTTCTATTTGAATTGTTTTGTGGTGATGGAGTTTTATTTGAAGAACTTGATGAATAAAACCCACTCATACGATTATTACCACCTCCATTAACAGATTTAGCGATTGATAAAGATCTTGCAAGACTTGATTGATTATTTGATTGATTATGTCTGTATCGTAGTAGCAGGAAATAAAAAATTTTTTCAGTTGTTGATTCTGGTTTTAATAAATTCTTGATGATTTCTTGTTTAGATCTACCATGCCATAAAATGATTAAATTTTCCAAGATTTGTTGATCAATTTCTTCAATTGAATTAATTGAACTTAGATAAGTATTTGGACTTGGTAATTCATTTAAAGTTTTAGAATCCATTTCACTTAATGGATATTTTAACAATAATGGATGTGACAAGATTTCATGAGTTTTAATTCTTTGATTTGGTTCCACTGTAAGCATTTTAGAAATTAAATCCTGGGCTTCAATAGAAATATCCATTGGCATTTCAAAAACACCATTTTGAACTTTTAATAATAAAGATCTAATATTTTCATCATCAAATGGTAATCTACCAGTCAACAGTGCAAAAAGAATAACACCACAAGACCAAACATCACTTTCAAACCCATGATAATGTTTCCCACTAACGATTTCTGGAGCAGCATAATGAGGTGAACCACAACTTGTTTCTAATAAACGATCATTATTCTCCAAGGCAGCCATACCAAAATCTGCAATTTTAATGTTTAAATTATGATCTAATAATAAATTTTCAGGTTTTAAATCACGATGACATATCCCCAAGGCATGACAATAAGAAGCACCAAGTATGATTTGTCTAAAATAACCAAGAGCTTCTTGTTCTGAAAGGGGACCTTTTTCAACTAATAAATCAAATAATTCACCACCTTCAACGTATTCCAAGATTAAATAAAGGGATTTTGAAGTTTCCCAAACATCATATAATCTTAGGACATTTGGATGATTTAATAATTTCATTATAATAATTTCTCTTTCAATACCATAAGCTAAACCAGCAGCATCACGACCTTTTTCATCACCATTTTCAGAATAATTCAAGACAGATTTTGATACAACTTTAACAGCAGCTTTTTGTTGAGTATTTAAATTTTCAGCTAATAAGACACGACCAGTTGAACCTTTTCCAAGAGTTTTACCTAATTTCCAAGGACCAATTTTGTTTATTTGTGAAGTATTGAAAGTTGATGAAGATAATAGGGAAGAAGCAACTGAAGGTTGTCTTGAATGATATGACATTCTTGATTGATTATATATCTATTCTTTTGTAATTTAACGTGTATATGATTCCTTTGAATTTATAAACTATATGAATAGATAATTTTCTAATCACAATAGTTAAAATGAATGACTATAGTTAGGAATAGATATATGAATTGGATATAAATCTTGTATGAATTGATATAAGACAAGTTGTTAAAGATTGATGAAAAGATTGAAAAGAAGGAAATGAATCAATCATTATATTAAAATTCAAATCACGGTGAAATGTTCAATAAAAGCTTTCTATCAACGTTTGACGCGATGTTTTGATTTTAATTAAGGTACGATTCGCGCCACCCAAATAAAATTTAATCGCGTTAAAATTTATGTATAATGTATGGTAAACGCGGTTTTGAAAGGGTTAAGAATTGGAATTTAATTGGAATTTAATTGGAATTTAAAGTACACATTGCATAAATTTCAACAAAGAATGAGAATATTTTAGAATTCTTTTAATCATATGCATTTGATTGACTCTTGAAAGGGTTAAATTGGGTATGTATGGTATGTAATTGTATGGAATTATGTTGATTGATGTATGAATGTAAATGTTCTTATTCGGTAAAGTAATTAAGGCTTATACTGAATTCCTAATTAAGATGATGGTATTGATGGATTGGGTAATTCGGATGACTAGATTTGTGGTATTGTTAACAGATCATGAGACGCCAAAGTAATTGATTATTGACGCGTGTTATATGATATGATATTATATTATATTCGCGTTAGTATAGAGTCTAGACTATAGTATTGAGTATAGTATAGTACATGGTATAATATAATCTACAATTGTCTAATCATTAGCACAGCGTATATTAAAACAATTTGAGAACCGCCAAAATTCATAACATCATTGTATAACTAGTAAATATAATAGTATAATATAATAGTATAACAATTCAACAACCACCAATTTGTTCTTGATGAGCTTCAATAACATCACCATCTTCTAAATCCATTTCATCAGGAGTAGCATCTTCTTTAACTCTTTGACCTTCAAATAAGAATCTTATTGAATTAAGGGATTTACCTTGTCTTTTAGCAAAAGCTTCCATTAATCTTTTCAATGGAGTAGCTCTTTTAATTTTAAAAAAAATTTCATTTGTACCATCACTAACTTTTAAATTAATATGAGTTTCAGATTTAACATCTGGTTTGGTTTCGTTTAATTCTGGTTTTTGATCTGGAGCTTCTGAATCTGACATTGTGTTTGATTGTTGTTGATAATAATAATAAATCAATTGATTTGTATTGTTTGTTTAAATTCAATGGCGATTTTGATTTTTCTCCCAAATTAAAATGAAATGGAAATTAAAATAAAATTGATTATGTAACGAGAGACGCGTGTGTTATGTAATCAAGTATAATAATGGTTACCCGGATATAATAACTGATATAAGTAAAGTATAGTCAATAGTATAGTCAATAGTATAGTCAATAGTATTATCAGAGTATATTCAATTCATAGTGTTTTCATAGTCATAGTCATAATCATAGTCATAGTCATAGTCATAGTCATAATCATATTCATTTGATTCAATTAATAATCATCATAGTCAGTAATCTTTTTTCCAATTATCGCCTTTTCTTCCTTGACATGGATTTGATTTCCTAATAGAAACAAAATAATCAGTATCAAATTCAAGCCACTATTAATTACATCTAATAACCAGTGATTATACATAATTATGATTTCTAATATGATATAAAATATGGTAAATAATATGGTCTCTAATCAATAAAGGTTTGAAGGCTTAGTATAAATTGTTATATAAAGAATTCAAATTTCCACATTAAATGTTAGATATGATTTAATACTCATAGAGCTGTATACACACACAACAATATGTCATTTAAAATCCCAACTACACAAAAAGCTATAAGAATTCATGAAACTGGTGGTTTAGATGTCTTAAAATATGAAGATATCCCAGTCCCAAAAATCAAAGATAATGAAGTTTTAATTAAAAACAAATATGCAGGTGTTAATTTCATTGAACGTTATTATAGAATTGGTCTTTATCCAACCCAAAAACCTTATACATTAGGTAGTGAAGCTGTGGGGACTATTGTTTTAAAAGGTTCAAAAGTTCAAGGTTTTGAAATTGGTGATTATATTTCATATTTAACAGAATCAACATTTGCACAATATACAAATTATGATCCATCTGAAAAGGCATTTAAATTACCAAAAAATTCAACAGATGAAAAATTAAAACTTTATGCTGCTGCCCCGGCTCAAGGTCTTACTGCATTAGCTTTTATTAATGATGCTTATAATGTTCAAAAAGATGATTATATCCTAGTCACTGCAGCAGCTGGTGGTGTTGGATTGTTTTTAACTCAATTAATTAAAAATCGTGGTGCTCATGTTATTGCAACTGCTTCATCAAATGAAAAATTAAAATTAGCCAAAGAGAATGGTGCAGAATTTTTAATTAATTCTCAAACTGAAGATATTGTTAAAAAAGTTTTGGAATTTACCAATAATAAAGGTGTTGCTGCAAGTTTTGATGGTGTTGGACAAGATACTTTCCAAATTTCATTAGATTCTTTAGCAAGAAAAGGTACACTTATTTCATTTGGTAATTCATCAGGTGCAGTTGATCCAGTTCCTTTAACAAAATTAGTTTCTAAAAATATTAAATTATTAAGACCAAATGTTTTTAATTATTTTGAAGAACCTAAAGAATGGGAATATTATTCAAATGAGTTTAAAAAACTTGTGGAATCTGGTGAATTAAAAGTTAGAATTGAAAAAATTTATCCATTAAGTGATTATAAAATAGCTGCTGAAGATTTGGAAGGTAGGAAAACTAGTGGTAAATTATTATTAGAGATTCCACAATAAACTGTGTAATTAGAACTTACTGGATAAGTTTTAATTTTGAATAAATATTTATATCATTTTTTGATTTAATCTACATGTAAATACACTTATTTTCATCATCATTCATTTAAAAATAAATAGACTATGAGTTGTCCTATGAATTGTCCTATGAATTTTCACATCCAGGACAATTATGAAGTGTTTCATGAATAAACACATCACAATCTATACAAAACTGATTATTACAATCAACACATTTATACCTAGAACTTGAAGTTTGAGTAATTAACCCATCAGGTAATTCCATTTGACATCCAAAACATAAATTAACATCATAATTTTTATCCACTGGGACTTCAATAAAATTTTTCAATGGTAATAAATGATGATATGACCGAGCTAAATGAGTTGATAAAATTAACATTGTATTACAACATGGACATATTGTAGGTAATGAACAAATTTTTGATTTACAATTTGGACAAATATACCCACCATAAGTTAATTTTGAATGACATGAACAAAATGATGGAGAATCTTCTGATATTCTATATGGGAATCCCATTTTAACTAATGTAAAACTCTTATTAATTTTATTAACTGGTAATGGTACCACGGCATCCATAAATAATTCTTTAAAATGTTGTTCATTTAATATAACATTATAACTATTTTCATCACCAAAATTTGTTTTTTTACAAATTTCTTTACATATTGAAACTTGTGCTGAAAGACCTATAATTTTAACTCTTATTTTTTCTTCAACTAATGAATTAACAGTTTTATGAATATTACCTGGATCTAAAGATAATAATGAACCATAAATTATTAATACTTCTCTAGTACAATGTGAAGCAACATGCATCAGCAGTCCTCTGGACATTTCTAAGGCATTTTGCAATGATGGATCTCCCTTTGGTTCTAATTTTTTTATAGATTTTAATGCATCAATATGTTCTTGTGGATTACCACCAACTTGACTTACTAATTGACCAATACCGTTTCTCATTATAATTATCCCCAATTGAGAAATAGGATTTTGATCAAAGAATTCCGTAACGAATTGAATAGCATTTGTTATAGTAATAGAATGTCTATTTGGTCTTAAATCTTTTTCAAGCATTGAAGAACTTAAATCCAATATTAAAATTAAATTTCTAATAATACCTCTTTGGAAAGGTGTCACATTTTTAATAATTCTCTTTTTTTGATGTTGTAATAATCCAGAAACAATACCTGCTATACTACCAGCTTCATCTTCTTTAACTATATCCCAACTTCTTTGATATTCATCTTCCCAAGAATAACCACCATTTGCACCTTGGATTTCAGTGGCTTTTACAGCTTTACGTCTTGTTCTATTTGCAACACCAGATGCTTCATCTTCTGAGTTTAATCTGTCAATGAATTCATCTTCTGATTCATCCATAGTTTTAATTGTTTGGGGTTGTGTTGAGTAACTAGCAAATTATACTCTTTGTTGATGGATTTTTTTTGATTTGTATATAGGTTTTTTTGACTTATTTACACCGCGACTGAAATACTCAACTAAAGCTTCTCATAGAACATCAAGAAAACTTGATTGAAGTCCATTTTATATCACATCTAAGAGCTCATAATAAGACACAGAATTGCATAGATCCACTAGTTTATCTATATATATTCGTTTATATTGGACCATCAGTTGGTTGTACTTAAAACCGTCAGCTATATTAATTTGAATTGATAGTTGGTAGAATGGCGCTCGTATCCCGCTCAGATGACTACTAACACACTAACGTACTATAATTCAAGCTGAACTAACCTTTAAAGTATCAGTTATTCATTAAATCAATAGTTTTTAAACGAAATCATTCATTTTTAGAAGGTAGAAACTTCATACTTTACTTTCGTTTATAAGATTGATCTAGAACATTATCATAGTTAGTGAGTCACATTAATGACAAACTGGACTAACCAAATGTCGTTGAGTAAGCATCGTTTATATTCTAGTTTCTCACATAATATTACATGAAATTAGCTTCAAAGTTCCCTTTTGGGAGTTGTATATGTGCCTATGTGCCCTGGATTTATTTTATCTTTTTCTTATATAAATACTTGATCTTTTATCCATTAAACTTCAACTATCTTCATTCACTATTCAGCAATTGTTAGTTCATATTCAATAAACTTATACCATGTCAGAAAGATTATCAACCCAATTAATCCATGCTGATGATTACAAAAACAGAGTCCCAGATGTTGTATCACCAATTAATGTTACTACAACTTTCAGATTTAATGAAGATCCAAATAAACTAGTTGCTGTAGCAGATTTACCAAAAGATTATGATCCAGAAGGTGATTATATTTATTCAAGAGAAACTCATCCAAATTGTGAAAAAGTTGAAGCTATTTTCGATAAAATCCTTGGTGGGTATAGTGTTGTTTATTCTTCAGGTTTGGGAGCTTTTAATGGATTAATTACACATTTTAATCCAAAGCAAGTTGCTTTTGGTACTTGTTATCATGGTGTTCATGCAATTTTAGATATTCAAACAAGAAATCATGGATTAAAACAATTATCATTAAGTGATGAAGATTTAGATAAATTACAACCAGGTGACCTGGTTCATATTGAAACACCTGTTAATCCTTTAGGAATTTCTTATGATTTAAAATATTATGCTGAAAAGGCTCATTCAAAAGGTGCGTTATTATCAGTTGATGCAACATTTGCTCCACCACCTTTACAAGATCCTTTTAAATTTGGTGCTGATATTATTATGCATTCTGCTACGAAATATTTTGGTGGTCATTCTGATTTATTAGCTGGTGTTTTAGTTGTTAAAACAAAAGAAATCAAGAGAGCATTATTTGATGATCGAATTAATTTAGGTTCAATTATTGGGAATTTAGAAAGTTATTTATTATTAAGATCACTTAGATCATATGATTTAAGAATCTTGAAACAATCTTCAAATGTTTTAAAAGTTGTTACATTTTTGAATGAAAATAAACATAGATTTAAATCTCTAACCAAGATCCATCATTCATCATTACAAACAGAACCTTATGTTAAGGAACAATTACCAAATGGATATGGACCAGTATTTGCTATAAACTTGGATAATGAAATAACTGCTAAAACATTCCCATCAAAATTAAAATATTTCCAACATGCTACTTCATTAGGTGGTGTTGAATCATTAGTTGAATGGAGAGCTCTTAGTGATGAACATGTTGAAAAAACTTTATTAAGATTTTCTATTGGTACTGAAGATCCACAAGATTTGATTGAAGATTTAGATCAAGCGTTATCTTCATTATAGATGGATTGAATATATATTAAATACATGACTGATAGAATTATGAAGTGGTAGTAATGGTATAAAGTAATACTAGTAGTAGACTGGTAGACTGTAGTAACGTACTACGTAGGTAGGTACCTAGTTATATTGCTTTCTTACCCGGATACGTAGTATTATATCTCCAATTAACCAATAAAATAATTGATGACGTACAACTCCGAATAATTAATACTTAATTAGATATAGTAAGTACGTAATACACTAATACACTAACTGTTATATCTAGAGTGTAGTGTATAAATGTTTATTTATATTGTATTCAAGAATCAATACTGGCCGTGTATTGTAGAGCTTTGACAGGTGAGCAGTGAGCAATACATTATATAGACACTCAGACTACAACACACAACTATAATACACAATACACGTAATACACAATATAAGCTATCAAACAATATCATACAATACAATCCTCCATTCAATCATTTCTTCATTTGTTGATCAATTCCACTCAAAGTCTACAAATTACCCCAGACTCAAAACGAGTCATTCAGTCACAGATGACATAAGCACTGTGGTAAAGCAAATTACGAAGAGGAGTAAATAACCACAACAAATTGGATACACTGGTATAAATATAAATGGTTGTATTGATACACTATCAACTAAATAATCATTGTCTATTGTCATTAATCATAAAGGTATAAAGTTGGTGTATTAAACGTACTTTCATTCGGTTACCGCATCTCCAGATTTTCATCCAATCTCATTTTTCAACATATCCTCGAGAATTGAAATTTAAATTTCCACGATAATTAATACCCATCAACAAAACACAAGATATCTAAAGCTTTTGATATCAAATAGTTTACATATCCATAGACTTATAGAGAAAAGATCATGAATCAATACAACATTTGGAATAATCAACAATCTCAACCTTCAAATCATTATGGTTGGTATGATTCTCAACCCCCACAACAACAACAGCAAGGTGGTCAACAACAACAACAAGGTGGTGGTGGTGGTCAAGGTGTTGGTAGTGATCAACTATCACCAGATTTATTAATTAACAAGCTAAACAACTTATCTTCTTCATCAAATTATAACCATTTCTTACAATCTTTAGATCCAAACCAAGGTTCAAATGGTTCACCAAATAATTCAAATTATCATTATCAATCTCAAAATTCTTTAAATTTTATAGATCATCAACCTTCTTATAATAACATTAATAACAATACTTTCCAATTACCATTAGAATTACAAGGTGGTATATCAAATATTAATTCAAGAAGACCTTCATTCACTGCAGAACAATCTTATACCCAAACTCAACAATCAATCCCAAAAAATAATTTGAATCTTTTAGCTCATTCAAATAATTTTAATAATTTTTATAATAATACTTCGGGTCAAAATAATCAATTATTACAAAATTTTAGATCAAGAAGACCTTCTATCCAAATTAATGGTTCTGGAAATATTCCTGCTACTGCTCCTTCACCATCAATGAATCTTCCTAGTGTTACTGGTGCTGGTAATGATGGATTAGAATTAGATAATGGATTAATATTAAATGGGAATTTCATTATAACTTCAAATCAATTAAGATTAGAATTCCAAAAAACTCAAAATTATTTTTGTCTTGAATCTGCTGATCATTTTTATAAAAATTTAATTAATCAAATTGAAACAAATGAATATTTGAAAAAAATCATTATTAATCTCAAAAAGCTAAACAATTTATTTAATCTAATTAAACCATTAGTCCTTGTTTTAACAAAATCTGGAAAATTTGAAATCTTATCAACACCAATAAACTCAAACATTTATTTAAATAAACATGATGTTGTCATTGTTGATGGTGATCGTGGTAAAGATCTAGTTTTAATCTTAGATCCTTCCATTTCATTAGATGTTGCTATCCTAATCAATTATTTGAAAAAAAGACAACATTTAAAATCAATGAGTTATGGTGGAACAAATGGAACTAGTACTAATGGTTCAACTACAACAATTTCAAATACAAAAGAAGATTTAATTAAAGGTCAGGGGATCCTTGATGAAGAAACTCAATTTCAAATCCCATCAAAACAAGTCTTGAGATTCGCCACAGGACAAGAAATTAATAATTTAAAATTTAAATTAATTGAAGAGATTAAATCTTACAAGACTTCAATTCTTAAAATTTCAAATTTATTAAATTTAAATAATAACTTAACTATATTAAATTCAGAATATCAATTTGATCAAAAAAAATTAACATTCTATTATTTTGCAAATCAAAGATTAGATTTCCGGAACTTAATTAAAGAATTATTCAAGATTTATAAGACAAGAATTTGGTTATGTGCTGTTCCAAAGCCACCTTTTTATGATCCACAAACAATAAATTCAACAAATGGATTAAATATGGATTTGAATGAGATCAATTTCCAGGATTTTAAGATTGATGATTTTCATGTTAGAAATTTTAATATTACATTAAATGAATTGATGGAGAATTGAGTTAATTTGTGTTTTTTAGAGATTATTGAGGATTATGTTTCAGGTCAATGAATAGATGTATAGAATTTAAAGATGATTTGAAACATAAGATCTTGATCTCGATTGATGTTGTTTTATGTTTATGTTGTTTATGTTTTTATGTGTTTTATGTGTTTTATATATTATTATATAAAAAAAGATTAAAAATATTGGTTTATGATTTGGTTTTAGATATATATATATAAGAAGAATTGATGAATATGTTATGAATGTTATGTAGTTGAGTATGATCTTCTTTTACTTCTCTTTTGTATAAGTTCAGTTTCCAAACTAGTGTAATGTTTATAGATTTACATGGTTTTTTCTTTATTTTAATCACACAAAAACACTTGAAAACCTCAATATATAAACTCAATAGCTAGAAATAAAATATGATTCACTCACAATAGAATATACTTACAATTTATATATCTAATTACCTAGTTTGTGAATTTGTTGATATTGTGTCTGTCATGAGATCGGTTCAATATGTAATCTCTCGCGAATATTTCCAAAGCACTCCAACATTTGAACAAGTTTACAATAACTAGATCTCATTTTTATCTTTTAAGTTAAAGATCGTTTCAAAGAAATCAAATTTTCAACATGGTTTTATTCAATTCTATCAAAAAATTCTCACCAGAATGGGCTTTAGTGGTTTCATTCACACTTTATTATGCTATAATTGGTAGTAAACAACCACCTTTTTTACGTGAATTTTTAATTAATGATCCAACTATTCAACATCCATTTACACAATTTGAAACTATAGATGATAAAAAATGTATATTAATTTCATCATTGGTTCCATTAGTATTAATATGTCTTGTCACATTGGGGAAACATAATTGGAAATTTAATAAAATTATCAATAATAATAAATTTTTCAATTTTTTACATTTATCAATATTAGGTTTAGCTTTATCATTATCAATTACTGGTTTTATTACTTTTTTCTTGAAAAATATGATTGCAAGACCAAGACCTGATTTTATTGATCGTTGTAAACCTGATTTATTAAAAATTAAACCAAATAAATTTTTATATTCAATTGATATATGTACAAATGATAATTATGAATTAATCTTGGAAGGTTTACGTTCAACTCCATCAGGTCATGCATCAATAGCATTTTCAGGTTTACATTATGTGACATTATTCTTATTTGCACAATTATCAGTATGGTCAAATAGAAAAAGAATTCACTTGTTGTTATTAAGTGTTTTACCTGAATTTATTGCCTTATTTATTGCATTATCAAGAACACAGGATTATAGACATCATTTTGGTGATATTTTTATGGGTACGCTAATTGGTGTTGGTATTAGTTATATTACTTATAGGAAAATTTTCCCAAGTTTTGCAGATGAAAATTATCAAGATGTTTATTATTTAAAAGAACATTCTGAAATTTTACCATTATATCAAGAAAGAGAAAGAAGTGTGTGAAAACTACAGTTTATAAAGTAATTAAAATACAATACATTAGCATATTTACATATATAACTATTTATAACTTTGTAGACCCAAACCAACCTATGTGTGAAACACATAAAACAAATATTATACAGGAAATGAAATACCATAATATGTTCAAATTTATAATTTTTGACGTTCCAAATTATATTTTTGGAAACTTCTATTCAATTGTTTTTGAACACTTAATTTTTGTGCACCAACAAAACTATCAATACTAACTTTAATTGCACGATCAACATCCATTTGTGAAACAAATTCTGATAATCTCATTTTGGCAAATGCTTCAGCTGTTCTAATAACAGATTCTAAATGACGAACTGTAATTGGAAATGAACCTGTTGTTATACTTTCACGACGTAAATCACTATATAATCTTGCAATTTTATCATTATCAATTTGATGTAATTTTGGTTGAATTTTAGTTCTTGCATAATGAATATATTTCATTAAAAAATCTTGTGGAATTGGTGAAATTTCATTTTCTTTTTGTTTATTTAATTGTGAAATTTTATTTCTTCTTTGATTTTTCCTACTTGCATGAATTGGTGTATCTTGTTGTGTATCATTCATTTCTTCATCTTCTTCATCTTCATCAACTTCCTCATCTTCTTCATCATCAATAGATCTATTAGATCTAACATGTGAATCAATAACGAATCTTGCTAATCTTTCATCTGATGCTGCATTGACAACATCTTTAACAACACATAAAATATCAAAACGTGACAAAATAGGTTCTGTAAGATCAACATTTTGTGATAATGGTAATGTTGAATTATATTTACCACCATTAGGATTTGCAGCTGCAATAATGGCACATCTAGCCTGTAGAGATGTCACAATACCAGCTTTTGAAATAGAAATACTTTGTTGTTCCATAGCTTCATGAATAGATGTTCTATCTTGATCATTCATCTTATCAAATTCATCAATTAAACAAGTACCTTTATCTGCTAAAACTAATGCACCACCTTCTAAAGTCCATTCTTTAGTAATTGCATCTTTTCTAACTGATGCAGTTAACCCCACTGCAGAAGCACCTTGACCTGTAGCGAAAACTGCTCTTTGTGCAGTTTTTTCAACATATTTTAAAATTTGAGATTTTGCTGTACCTGGATCACCTAATAATAAAACATTAATATCACCTCTAATTGAATGTTTACCATTAACATTTTTAGGAACACCACCAAATAATGAACAAGCAATTGCAGTTTTAATATCTTTATGACCATAAATAGATGGTGCAACTGATGAAATGATTTTTTCAATAACACCACGTTCTCTTGATAATTTTCTAAATTCACGTTCTTCTTCTTCTGTCCAACTGAAAATATCTAAACCTTGATCAATTTCACCATTCATTGCTTTTTGTGCACCTTCTCTTCTTCTAACTGCGTTTGCTTCAATGATTGTAGCGAAAACTGGGAACCCATTTTTAACATTTAAATTACCATCAAATGAATTTTTATAAACACCTGTAACTTCAATTTCTTCACCTGGTTTAGCAACATCAACAAGATCCCATAATAAAATAACTTCTCTATGACGTGGTAATCTACCAGCTGGAACAGTACCTGGAGCTTCTTGTAAAGTAACTCTTTGATAATTTCTATATAATGTTTTCTCTGAATTCATTCTAAATGGACCTTTACTTTTACAATTTGAACAAAATGAAATTTTAACTTCTGAATTTGCATCTTGGAAAAATGGACCTAAAACAGAATTACATTTTAAACAATCAAATTTAACATATTTCAATTGTGGGAAGACACCTGTTCTTCTTGTGACAACACCTGAAACTCTAACAAGTGTATTTAAATTACCTTCTCTTAATTCTCTTAATGTAGAAACTGTTGGGAAATCTGAAATTCTAACATGAATTTCTGAATGAATTTGTGAATAATCTGGATAATGTAATTCTGTAGCTTCCATTGCAACAACATCGAAAATTTTCAACATTTCTTCTGGACAATAAGCTAAAAACATGGCCAAGATAGCTTTAGATTCAACTAAATGATTATAACTAACTTCTAAACTTTCACTATTGACTTCACCAAGTGTTCTAATTCTTGCACCATAAACAGATTTACCATTTTCATCAGTATATTCTAATAAGAATGATTTTAATTCTCTTCTAATAGTTCTTGAAACATTTGGTTGTGTAACCCATTCTGTTAAACTTTGTGCTTTAACATCAGCTAATGATTCTAATGTTAATTCTTCTTCTAAAGGATCGATATCACCATCATCACCCATATCTTGATCTTCATCATAAATATTACGTCTTCTTCTTCTAAATTGGGCATTTCTATCATCATCACCATCATCCAAGAATTCATGATTACCTTGTAAAAATTCATCTCTTCTATTCAATTGTCTTGTAACGGCATTATAATCACCAAGATCATTAGTATCAACAACATCATCATCAATATTATCACCTAAATCATAATGATCTTCTTCAGCATTTTCTCTATAATCACGTTCGAAATTATCCATTAAATCAACTCCATCTTCTTCATCTTCAATACGTTCATCAAAATCATCTAATTCTAATTCTCTTCTATCATCATCAGCATCATCAAATGGTAAAGCACCTGGGGAAGATGGTAATAAACCGCTTTGTCTTGGAGAGTTCCCACTTTGATGAGATGAAGCATAACCTGAATTCAAATCATCATCGTTATCACTTTCTGCTTGTCTCTTTCTTGATTGTGACATGGTTTAGGGTTTTAGGTATATGTTTGAATTGGTTTGGTTTGTGTTTGAATGGAGTTTGTAAATGAATAGTATGAAGAATCAAAAAAATGTAAATAGACAATTCACGACTAAATTTTATAAATTTTAAATCTTGTAACCAAAGTAAATTCAAAACAATTCTAATCAATTTACCGAATTAGGATACTTAATTAAACGCGTCTCGAGTTTTCCAATTTCTATTTTAAAATTTCGCGTTTTAAAATCTTATATACTCGCGACTTTTACCCGGTGTATCATGTATCTTATAGACTTCCTAATTAGGAAATGAAAGTGTAAGTAATGAAATCTAGGCCAGATCTTGTTCAGATCTACAATTAATCTTAGACATTAACAATTTATGAAATTATTTATTTACCCAAAAGAATTAAAATAAATTAAACAGAGCCCATTTCTGCTGAAGAATTATGAATGAATGATGACTGGTATTATATGAAATAAGCTTTGAAGAGCCTTTTTATCGTCTATAGTATGCAACTGGAAAATTATATAAATAAATGAGTTCGAAAGTTGAACTATATGCAAATGAATTAAATGAACGTGAACGAATTAACGAAATGATGAATTGGAATGATTGGCTGTGTTTTTAAGTGCTTGATTAGAAATAGACGTGTCTTCCTTGGTTAAAGATGAACTCTGGTAATTCAAAATCTTCAACAACAGTACCAGCACCACTATGAACTTTGAATTTAGCATTGTTGATGGAACCTTTACCATTACAAGCACTAGCACTTTTAGAATAAGTTAAATGAATTGTATAAAGACCTTCATTATCAGCAGCTGGACATAAAGTGAATATATCAATGTTGTTGAAATTCAAATATCCATTTTTAATGGAAAATGTATGTCTTTGAACTTCATCATCATGTTCAATTGAAGTTTCTGATTTAACATGTTTATCTGTAGATAATTTTAATTGACCAACTTGTGAAATAGTCAAGAGTTTTGTATCAACTTCAAATGAACCTTTGGAATTGAAATAAGCTGAAAACCAACTTTTCAAATCATATTGTGAATTTTGTGAAACTAATAGATTGTCTTCTTGAACCATAATTGAATTACCATTTAATGGATTGTATGGTAGCTCTAATGACATGGAAACTGATTTCCCATTAGACTTGTGTAGTTTTGGAGCTGCTAATGGAGCTGCTATTATAGTTGGTATAAGTTGAAGAACTAAGCAAAGAGTTATAAGTAACTTGTTGAACATTGTAATGTATAGTAATATGGTTGTTGTACCTGAATGTTATATGTTTAAGATTAAAGTTTCGAGTGAAGGTCTCAGATTCTTATATATATGAATCTCAAGATTTTTCAGCACCATTTCGACGTTTACTGGCATTACCCAAATTTAGCACATATATTGTTATCATGCACATAATTCTTTTTAGATCAGTAGAAACATAAACAAAAGAATGAAATTTCTTGAAAAAAGTTCGCTGATAATTTTGAGTCAAAAATAGACTTTTGCCGAAAATGTCATCATGCTGTTCGTTACGTTTTCGGCATATTTACGCATATTCACTAGAACAACTATATAGTTAGGTAACTCAAAATTTCAAGACCCTTTTGTTTACAAAAGAGTTGTGGTTAGATGACCATATACACAAGAGAAGTACAAAAGCACCACAGTGAAAGCCAGCCATATTTTTAACCCGTATGTTAAGAAGCTGATAACAAAATATATACTAATGCTGCTAACTTCTAACATCATTTTCCCATTGAAATTATAATGTTCAATTCGTACACAATTGTTTAATCCATGCCTTCCTTTGAATCTTTGGCTTTTCGGTGTAATGATATCTGCTTACCTTCTGTTGGGTATAAGGTAATTATATACTTAGTATCTGTTGATATGTAGCTCCCTAATACCCATGGATTTCAAAAAAAGAGTTATAATATTCATTCCCAGCTTATAGTTTCCGATCCAGTACTTTCGGATGGTGATCTTTCTAGTTAGATTTAGGTATCAAGTATGTGTGCTTTCACAAAAACTTAGATATAATTAATCTACTGAAGTCCAATATATTGTTTATTATGTTTCTAAAAGCTACAAGTGTGGTAAATTGAACATAAAAATAAGAAATATATTAAATAAAATTAGTTATAAAAATTCTAAAACAACAAGCTTTGGTATCATTATAAGCTTTTGTCAAGCGAGACGAAGAATGTAAAGTTTTAACGTAACAAAGAGAATAAAGAAAGATAATCTAATAAACTTAGATTAATAAAGCAGCAACAGCAGCTAAACCGGCACCTAAACCAATTTTAGCCATACCAGCAGCACCGTTATCAGTTTGAGTGTAGATTGGTGGAACAATTGATGATGAGGTGTTTGAAGTGTTGTTTGAAGCAGGTTTATCATCTGATTTTTTACCTGATGGAGAGAAATCTGAAACTGATTGACCTTCTTTTGAAATAGCCTTTAAAGCATAAGTAGTATCATCACCAACTGGTAAAGATAAACGGGAAGTTGAGTCACTGATAGTGAAACCTTGAGAATCATGGAAAGTTAAGTAACCATCTTTAATAGCGAAATCTGAATCTTTGCTGTCACCAACGATGAATTTACCATTGTTACTTGAGACGTATTTGTCACCAACTTTGAAGTGACCTTCATCATCAATAACACCTTCAACGTAATCTGAACCACCAACAGCTAAGATATCACCATCTTTGGTAATACCAGAGTTTTGATAAGCTGAACCTGAACGGATAACAAGTAAACCAAATGATTCTGAGTCAGCGACAACGTATGAAGCTAAAGCTAATAAAGAAGCGACGTTAATGAATTGCATTGTAAAATAAGTAAATTGAATTGAGCGAGTGAATATAATTCTTTGATTGAATTGATGATGAATTGAAATAAATGAATAAAGTTTTGAGAAATAAGGGAATCCTAAGCTCTTTATATAGTTTATATGAAATGGTTGGTGATCATCTCAATCGAGAAACAAACTTCTAAAGTTACACATTTTTTTATGCAGGACTCATAAATATAAACAAACAAATGCGTTTTGACTTACCTCAGGGCATCGAGGGTTTATTTTTGGTCTTCTCCTAACATTTATCATTCGTTTATATCGACAATTCTTCATCAGATCTACGTCATTTCTTTTTCTCAAAAGCTTTCTTTATGAAATTTTGGTCTTTTTCCCCAAGTTTCCCTAGAAACTTAAAATTTAAAGCTTGCACAGTTTTGCATATGAATGCCGTTTTGGCAAGTCATTCTTACCGAATCGGGGGTTTTTTTATGGGAATTTTGGTAAATTACCCACTGATTACACAAATGGCGAAATATATCACGTCTTAGACAAAATAATTAAGAACAAAGTTTGAACAATAGACAAGGATCTTGCTATAGTTGGTAATGAGTGTTACCGAATTGGTGACGTTATAAGCAGCTTGGTTCTTCTTTTGATAATATATATTCCTACAAGTCTGTCTTTGACTGTGTATATTAATAGCTATCCCCGACTCCCCAATCAGCTGGTATGTCTCAAGATTAACTTGAGTGATGGAAACATACGTATAATAACAAATTTTAGTTAAGCATGCAGGTAACCAGTTTGAATTTGATTATTTTGAATGCCATTTTGTAGCTGAATCTTGTGATATTTTGATTCTATTAATAATTTTGTGCATATGGCGTTAAAATTTAAAACCCCGTGCGCCGTTTTGAAAGGTGAAAGGTGACCCCTGAAAAAGAAAGTGTACGTTGGAGTGCTGGCTCTTGATTACTATTGAGTCTATAGTTATACAGATATAGCTGGTGCTATTGATCTATACAAACAGCTTTAGATAAAATTGACTTGAAGCTGTCGGTTTCAATTCAAATTTCAGATCTCTATTCATGATCAAGTAAATTGGCGTACGAATTTTCACAATTTTCACGATTTTCACTACGTTAGATCGAAAATCAGATATCAGAAGATGCCCTCTAAGAATACGCATTCATCTATATAAACAAAAGTAAACAATAACACGAAGAGTCATAGTAACCATAATATTATGTGCACTATTAAGTAAAACGTTTGATCTATATTCATGACGGTTGACCAATACTCGATAAAATTACCTTAGCGAATTTTTACGAATTGAATAACCACTGAGTCCTGACCAGCCAATTATTATTCAATCATGCTTGAACTTCGAAGTCTTTATTACACACTTTGACTCAGACACTTGAAGCTAAAACATCAATTAAAATTATAGCTTGCAATAGTTCTGAACAATAACATCTTGTAATTGGTGTTGGATTTCAGCCAGCCATGATTATTTAAAGTAATTTTGGAATTGATAGTAGTTACAAATTACAACACTTCATACATGATCGAGTGTACAATGTATTAAATATTATAATATGATCTGTTATTTATATTGAATCAGGGTGTTTTAACAGTTAAAGATCAAGAACTTCATCTACCCGCCCTTATACAATCACCAGCAGGTATCTTGATCACTTCCTAATTTGAAATCAGATTCACAATGGGTTAATTTTTAAGCAAGATACATTCATGTAAATCTTAGACAGGTATTAAACCAATTGTTTTCTTACTATTTTTGTACATAGAGCATAAAAACTATATTTAAAACAAAAACAAACAACACAACTAATTTATACTTTTCTCTAAATCAAAATCTTCCTTCCCTCCTGTTTTATTAACAACTTGAACATTTCCAATCTTCATATGTTTATCAACAGCTTTACACATATCATAAACATTCAACAATGCAATATTCACACCTGTTAAAGCTTCCATTTCAACACCTGTTTTACCTTCACATCTAACCACACTTTCAACTTTAATGGTGAATGGATCTTGAATCTCTAAAATAACTTCAGCTTTTGTTAATGATAATGGATGACATAAAATCACTAAATCTGAAGTTTTTTTAATAGCCATTATACCTGAAATTCTAGCTATACTTAGGACATCACCTTTTTTATTTGAATTTTCTTTAATTTGTTGGATTGGGAATTCATTGGAAAAGGTTATATAACCATGGGCTTTTGCTTGTCTTGTTGTGATTGATTTATTTGAAATATCAACCATTTTTGCTTCACCTTTAGAATTCACATGGGTTAATTTCTTTGTTGAATAAAATCTTATTGATTGTGTTCCAGAAAGGTTCATTATTAATGGATTAAATTCCATAGTTAATGGGCTAGTTTTTTTATCTATATTGGTTCGTTAGTTGTTTTTGTCAATTTAATTACTTGGTTTGCCTCAAAACTCATCCACCGATTAAAATCATTGGTCTATTAGCCATTTTTGGCAATTCATCTAACCCAGCATGTTTTTCCTTTTTATTTTTAACAGTTTTACCAATGACTTGTAATATTTCATCTTCATCAACATTAGATCTTATTAAATCTCTTAATGAAACTTCATCATTTCCAAAAAGACAAACTTTTAAATTCCCATCAGATGTTATTCTTAACCTTGTACAATCTTTACAAAAATCATCAGTCATTGAAGTTATAAAACCTAATTTACCTTTAAAGCCAGGGATTTGATAAGTTTTAGAAGTTTCACCATGTTTATGAGCAACTCTTTCAATTGTTGGATGAGTTTCTCTTATTAATTTAATAATATCTTGATAATTCATAACTTTTTCTAATTCCCATTTATTACCATCAAATGGCATATATTCAATAAATCTAACTTCTAATGGGTAAAATTGAGCTAATTTAACAAAATTCATAATTTCATCATCATTTAAACCTTTCACAACAACAATATTTAATTTAACTTTTGGTATACCTAGTTGTAATGCAGTTTCCAAGGATTTCATAACATTTTTTAAACCATTTCTTCTTGTTATAAGTGTAAATTTCCCTTCTACCAGTGTATCTAATGATAAATTTAATGAGGTTAACCCAGATTGAGCCAATTTAGGTAATTTCCTATGCAAAGCAATCCCATTTGAAGTGATACAAATTTCTTTTAAGCCTTCAATTTGATTCAATCTATCCATTATCTCCAAGATATCTTTCCTTACTGTTGGTTCACCACCAGTTAATCTAATTTTTTTAACACCTTGAGATACAAACATTTTAGCAATTTGAATGATTTCATCAGTGGATAAAATTTGTGAATCTGGTTGTAATGGTACCCCTTCCTCGGGCATACAATACATACATCTTAAATTACAACGTTCAGTGATTGATATTCTTAAATAATCATGTTTCCTATTGTAATTATCTGTAAGGAAATGAGATATAGGTTTAGCATTCTTAATAGCTGCCCAACGACGAGCGTTTGATTCTGATACCGTTCTCAACGATGTTGAATAGAGTCTTCTCAAGAACATTTTAGATCATCACCATCAACAATAAATTGAAAAACAGATCAATTAATGGTTCAATTTGAAATCAAATCAAAATTATTTCATTAGTAAAACAAAACTGATAACCAAAAGACCGGAACTCATGATTGTTCATATTCAAGATCCGACTTTCAATAAACGCCATAGTTAAGATAACCGGGACATATTTTCCACTTACAAAATCTATAAACTCTCATTTATTGATTATATTAATTATATATTAGTTATTAAGTATTAGTGTCAAGGACTGGATGTTCAGAGCATCATGAAAGGGCATAAAAAGTATCATTAGGGAATGGATATCATATCATCATAAAGTTAGCTATTGTTTTGTACCTGTGAAAAAAAAATTATTATAGGTTGAGAGTCTTGATTGAGCTTATTGGTTATTAAGCATTGGTGTTTGCTGGACGTTGAGTTTCCAATTGGCCAGCATCTTGATCTTCAGTTGGATTAACTTCAGTTTCACCAGATGCTCTTAATTCAGGTGTTTCAACTTGTTTTTCCAAATCATTATTACCATTATTAGTATTTGGTAAATTATTTGAATCAACAAATAAACCATTCTTACGTGAATCAAAAATTAAAGCATATGGGGTTAACCAAAACAAGACCAAGTCTAAAACACCATAGAAAACACCTTCTGAATCTGGTTGAATAACATTACCACCTTCACTTAACCCCCAATTAACTGGATATAAAATATAAACAATTATAAAGAATGGGATTAATAATTTTGATAACAAACTTTTTGAACCATTATTTGAATTGAATTGCTTTGTTGTAAAGACAATAATGGTGAAGATTTGAGCAGAAACACCAAATGTCCAATACCCCCATTTATAAGTTGATTTAATTAAAGAACCAATTAATAACCCTAAAACGAAAACTTCAGTTGATGCAATAGTTAAAAATAATTTATTAAAAATTTGGAAAAAATCAGCAGATGTCAAGATATTTTGAGATAATAAATTAAATTCAAATTGATAAAATAATAAAGGAAATGATAAAAACCAACCAATATATCTTGCATAAAAAATTTGTCTTACATTATCATCAATTTCAATATGATTAAATTCAGTTTCAACACCAGTCCAACCTAAATTTGAAGCTAATGTATAATAAGTATAAGCCAAGATGGCACTAATACCTAATGGAGCAACATGAGCTAAAGATTTATACTTGGAATCTGAATTTTTGGATCTATTATAAATAATATAAAATCCTGCATGAATTAATGAATTTAATCCAAAGATTGAAAAAACAGTCCAAAACCAATCTGATCCATGATCAGTTATACCAATTCCTAAGTTTGCAGGATTGATTTCAACAGCTTGATTACCGGCCATAATTATAATTTGATTGTGTTAACTCTTATTGTTTGTTTAATGATGAGAAAGAAGTTATCAGAATCAATGGAATTGAAAGGTCAAATCCATTTCTTTATATACATTTTCCAAGGGTTCAGTGGAATCCTTGTTTTGTATAAACATTCTAGAGAATTTTGAATTATGAATTATGAATTATGAATTACAAATTACACACATATTTTGATTCATTAATTGCAAGTTTTAAACGGGATCATCGGTATGTACCTTTTGACCATACTATTCAAACCTTATGACAAATTAGTTTTTTGTAATATGATTTGTAATTCAATGGCTTAATTGATGATCAAGATCTTTAATAATTACCTAAATGGGTGTTTACAAATCAGGTAATTCTTTCAATGATTAGTATAGAAGTTCGTAGACTAATAACATTGTTAACCCTGGCGCTATGAATGGTATACGAATATCATGGCTTCTGATTTCAAGGGATATATTGATCATCGGTGGGAAATCAGGCTGATTGAAAACACGGCTAGATCTTTTCAAAATCATGTCACAATTGAATCATATCATATCGGAAAGTACGGTATCCTCAAATTATCCCATTGTGACATTTTGTGACACTTGTTTCCATTATTTCTAGAATAATTAGTGTCAATTTACGCTTTCGGATTTGAATCCGTATAGTACTAAAGTTCAAAGCCCTACAATTCAGTTGAAAACTAATAAAATGTATATGAATAGAATAGAAACTATGTACAAGTTGTGGATCTGATCAAACGACAATACCATCCAATGAGCATCCAAGATCCAAGTATGGTGTAATTATAACGTGTTTTGAATAAATAACTTTTAAAACTTGTGATTTTGTATATGATCAACAAGATGATCAAAAAACTTAATTTTTCGATATAGGAAATGGTAATTGTTCACCACCTCTTTCTTCCATTTCTTTTAAGAACGCAGCTCTTTTGAAATCTACCACTCTTTTCTCTTTGAAATATTTCACCCAACTTTTAGCACAGTTTTGTTCATAATTAACTTCTTCTTTGGAACAATTTTTCTTTATAGTATCTGCATGTTTATCTTCTAAAGCATTAATAACATTGTTTTTATCCAAACATTCGAAGAAGATATCTCTACTGTCCCAACACTGTTCTCTCTTGTTTCTACTAGGAGGTGTGTACTCTTTGTTGCCACCAAATAAACCCATGTTGATGATCTTGTTGAAGTTGAAGTTGTTAAAGTTGTTAATGGTTTCTGGTTAAATTCATTTTTTTTATAAATTTCTTTGGTGCAAATCGCTAACAAAATTGATTATCAATTATTTGATTTTCAGACTGTTTAACCACAATTTAAACTGGATAACAACAAAACATGGTAATAACCACCCTCTATACCATATATATTTCAATCCAACATCTAAGAGTATTCTTGATCTAGTAAAAAACCAGTTGATTGGTAGTATCTATATAGTTTCTAATTCTCTGCTTAGTCAGGAATTACAAAGCAAAAAAGTTCGCGAATTTAAAAAAAGTCTTCAAAATTATACCAATACATGAGAAACTATGAGAAACATCTTTGACACTGATCATACTCTCAATTCAACATTTGGTAAAGCATTTCACAATGTCAAATATAGGTCTCAAGATCCGTCAAGCGGCTCCTTCTATTGACCCAATCGTCGCGGATTACGCTGTGGGTTATATTAACCATGTTGAACATTCAACCACAGATTCTGTTTTATCTCAACAATTAGATATTGATCAAGAAATTTCATTTATTAGTGATTTATTGAAAAATGCTGGTGGTGATGATTTGAAAATTAGTAAATTAGCTGATGAATTAAACATCAAATTAAGTGAAGAATTGAAACAAAATCAATCTAAATTAGAATTAACTGGTGATACTTCAAAGAGATTATTAGATATTAATTTATTGAAAAATCATGCAAATAAAAGAAATATTAATTCAAGTTTAGCCTTATTAGGTGTTACAAAAGATATTGAACATAATGGTAGACATATTGAATCTAAAGTTGATAAGAAAAAATTAGAAAAAGCTGAAAAAAAAATTGCTGCAAAAGTTGCTAAAAGAAATAATCAATTTGTTAAATATGAAGCTTCAAAATTAATTAATGAATCTGAATCTCAAGAAGATTATGATCAATTCTTCCTTAAGATCAATCCTATTGAATTTGGTTCCGGTGCTGGTAAATCAAAAGATATTCATATTGATACTTTTGATCTTTATGTTGGTGATGGTCAAAGAATCTTGGCTGATGCTCAATTAACTTTATCTTATGGTCATAGATATGGTTTAGTTGGTCAAAATGGTATTGGTAAATCTACTCTATTAAAAGCATTATCAAGAAGAGAATTAAACGTTCCAAAACATATTACAATTTTACATGTTGAACAAGAAATTACTGGTAGTGAAATTACCGCGTTACAATCTGTCTTAGATGCAGATGTTTGGAGAAAACAATTATTATCTGAAGAAAAAAAACATAATGAACGTATTGCAGAAATTGAAACTTTAAGAAAAGAATTTGATGAAGATAGTTTAGAAGTTAAAAAATTAGATAATGAACGTGATGATTTAGAATTACATTTACAAGAAATTGCTGAAAAATTATATGAAATGGAATCTGATAAAGCTGAATCAAGAGCCGCATCAATTCTTTATGGTTTAGGTTTCACTAAGGAATCTCAACAAAATCCAACAAATTCATTTTCTGGTGGTTGGAGAATGAGATTAAGTTTAGCAAGAGCTTTATTCTGTAAACCTGATTTATTATTATTAGATGAACCTTCAAATAACTTGGATGTTCCTTCTATTACTTATTTAGCAAATTACTTACAAACTTATGAATCTACAGTACTTGTTGTTTCACATGATCGTTCATTCTTAAATGAAGTTGCTACAGATATTATTCATCAACATTCAGAAAGATTAGATTATTATAGAGGTGCTGATTTTGATAATTTCTATTCAACAAGAGAAGAAAGACGTAAAAATGAATTACGTGAATATGAAAATCAAATGGCTTATAGACAACATTTACAAACTTTTATTGATAAATTTAGATATAATGCTGCTAAATCTTCAGAAGCTCAATCCCGTATTAAAAAATTAGAAAAACTACCAGTTTTAGAACCTCCTGAACAAGAAAAACAAATTACTTTTAAATTCCCTGATCCTGATGGAATTTCACCACCAATTGTTACAATGAAAGATGTTTCATTTGGTTATAATCCAAATGATTTATTATTGAAAAATGTTGATTTAGATATTCAATTAGATTCTCGTATTGCACTTGTAGGTGCAAATGGTTGTGGTAAATCAACATTATTAAAAATTATTATGGAAAGAATTCAACCATTGGATGGTCATGTTTCCAAAAATCCAAGATTAAGAATTGCTTATTTTGCTCAACATCATGTTGATTCAATGGATTTAACAACATCTGCTGTTGATTGGTTATCAAAAACTTTCCCAGGTAAAACTGATGAAGAATATAGACGTCATTTAGGTTCTTTTGGTATCACTGGTACTTTAGGTTTACAAAGAATGCAATTATTATCAGGTGGTCAAAAATCAAGAGTTGCATTTGCTTCATTATGTTTAAATAATCCTCATATCTTAATTTTAGATGAACCTTCAAATCATTTAGATACTTCAGGTTTAGATGCCCTTGCTGATGCTTTGAAAAATTTTAAAGGTGGTGTCTTAATGGTTAGTCATGATGTTAGTGTTATTAATCAAGTTTGTAATGAAATATGGGTTAGTGAAAGAGGTAGTGTTAAGAAATTTAATGGTACTATTTATGATTATAAGAAATATATTTTGGCTGCTGCTGATGCTTCAGGTGTTGTTAAAAAACATTGATCTCAATTCATATTGTGTTTTGCAAATAATATAAAATATATTTATTATATATTTGATCGGTTGTAGTTGTTTCAAAATCTTTTATAATACTACAAGTAAAATTTTAAATAAGATAGCATTTTATTCATATATCTAAAACTAGATAATTGAAGCTATACGAAAGAAAATATAACAAAACATTAATGAATTGTCAATATAGAAGGACGAATTAAAACTTTGACTTTTTTTGTAA